GGCCACTGCCTTTCTATACGTAATATCACACTTTAACCGAACCTTTTAATTTACTCAAAGCTTGATAGCGAATCATTTTATCAGAACATGAAAAACTATTTGCGTAAGATTGAATAATACTAAGCCAGGTATCTGCATATAGTTTTTTATTGGACCAAAATCTTGTATAAAACATCGCCTTTTATTGGACCAAATTCTGGTATAAAATGTCTCAAAGTAGTAGAATTTGAATTACTTACAGTTTCGGCATTATCATAAAGTACCTTATACTTCTGCCTTGATAGACCCGAAATCGTCATTGGAGTTTTTAAAGTGGTGTAGCGAACACGTTTTCGTTGGGAACGATTACTAGTTACTACCGCTATTCGCTTACACATGGCGTCAAGGCTGTATCCCACTTCTGAGATATTAAAGACTGTAGGTTGGTCGGCCAAAATAAAATAGTGAGGATAGCGTAAACAACTTTATATATTAATTAGACTACTTCCTACTTATTAGGACAGAGTAACGTCCTATACAAAGGATAAAGTGTTCTACCCTATCACTGAAACATTATGCGCTTTTATACAAAAATATAATGAGTCATCACAACTACATTACAAATCAATGCACTTATTAAATTACAAATACAGTTAATAAGATTGACCTATTAAATTATATATTAATATTAATGATGGTTTATTATATAATATTATACCAGATATGGTTCAATGTTTATTAAGTATAATTGTTATTGCTCGTATATTAAGTAGTGTTGCCAGTGGATTGTAACACTATACCGAAAACGTAAGGTGGCAATGACCTTGCGACTGATCTCCTTGATGTGGACATTCCAGCTCAGAGAATTATCCATGTAAAGGCCGAGATTTTTCGCCGAGCCATCAAAAGGTATTGTGTATATGTGTCGCCGTAGTATAGATTAGGGATATTTTTAGGGGGATGCATGTAGGTGTTTTATTAGAAGATAAGGAAAGCCATCTAAATCTGTCGTGAATCTAAACTCAATGTAAATTCATCAAAGCTAAATGGATCTAACAAGAATTTCGATTTGCAGTTTGTATTATGAAGTTGGAAATAGGTGTCTAATCCTTCTACATCCCTACCATCAGTTGAAAGTTTATCTAAAAAAGAGGCTACAAATTCATCACAATATGATTTGTTATTGACTTTAATTCCTTTAAACATTCTAATATAATTCCAAATTTTACTGACTAGAGTAGTTCTATTCAAAGCTGTTACAAAGGTTTATGGCATGAAATGTGCGGAATGCCATTAAATAAAACTCACAAATGTGCTCACTGTTAATTGTATTACATCAGAAGAACTTTAGATGTGTTCACAATATTTTCACCCTTAAAATAATGTTATTGTTAACAAAGAGACAAGTCGACCGTTGTGTTCTCAGCGGCGAGTCTCGAGGCAGATGTAACTCCCCGGTCGCCGGCCAATCAGAGGCGACTCGTTTGCAAACCGCGAGTCGCGCGCTTTTGCGCGCTAAATTTAAAATAGACGCGGCGGTTGTTTTCATCCGCTGGTTTGGTTTTTCCAACCATTCCGTTTCTCTTCAGAAATGGTTCTTTTTTTAACAGCTTCTAACTTTTTATATTTGATGAAGTTCGGGATAGAATGATTTTTTCTATAAAATTTTAGTTTTACATGATTCAATTACAGCCTGTTGACATCTATTATTCCACCAAGGAGCAGGTGACTTACATCTAAAATTATCTGACTTGCTAAATTTAGGAACACACTCCAGTTTCAGTGTTGAGTCTATCACAGAAACTATTAAATGCTTTCAATGGATCACGCATATCCAGTCACATTATTAAAGTAGTTTTTGGAAATTTGGCAATATTGGTTCCAGTCTGTCTTGTTGTATAGAAATTTTTCTATTGGTGGGTTGTATTGGTATCTGTCTATGCTTGTTGTGATATCTATAATGGTAGGAAAGTGATAGCTTCCCATATTATTATCGTATACTGTCCAATTACAAAGAGGAGTTATGCATGCACTAGTAAAGGTCACATCAATATCTGACGGGACAGTATTAGGATAGTGAATTGTTGTTACAGTACCATCATTGAGAATACATAAGTCCAGTTCATCTATTAAATTATACAACTGTTGTCCTCGACCTTTAGTTGATAAACATCCAAATGCTATATGGTGAGCATTAAAATCACCAGCTACTAATATAGGTTTCGGGAGATCTCTTATGATATTGCGCAGTTTATTTATTCTTATATGTCCGTTTGCAGGAGGACAATACGAGCATAAGATAGTGAGGGCTCCACGTTGAGGGCGTATTGCAATAGTTTGAACATCTTCATAAAAGGTGGTTTGTAAAAGTTTATATTTGAGGTAAGGTTTTATGAGAATGGCAACACCGCCATGTTCATTACTGGCATAGTGAATATTGTAGTTAGGTATGCGAAAAATTCGACCTGTATTTTTAAACCAAGTTTCATTAAGAAGACAGATATTAATATTTTGTTCTTGTAAGAAATTTGTTAGTAATGGCTTTTTATTGTGAGCACTTTGAATGTTGTAGTGAGCAATTCGTAAATGTGACTTTTTGATAGGCACAGAATCCATTAACTAAGAGATTTAAAGAGCATTTCCTTAAATGATTTCGTAGTGATATTGGCACCATCACCACTGTTAGCCAATGAGATCAAGCAACTGACAATAGCCATTGTGAGATCATTACTTGATAGCAAGATGGCTTTAAGATCCTCCATTTTAGGAGGGATCCCTTTATGAACACTTTCTGACTTGATGTATTTACATTATTTACAGAAGGATTATTTACAATGGGTTTATTTACAAGTAACTGTGCAGATGGAATAAAGTTAAAGGCAGTCATGGTTGGTTTGTATGTCAAAGCAGGAAATTCGTCATTGGTTACTTAGTACTAGCAGCACTCGCATAAGATATTTTATTCTTTTTTTCTTCAATTTTTCTCATCTTAACTGAAAATAATTTAGAAATGGCTAAATGTGGACCACTACAATTTGCACAGCATAATTGGTTTGGTTTATCACATTCATGATATAAATGTTCACCGCCGCAGCAGCTGCACCGTTGCTTTACATTACAAATTTTTGCTGAATGATTAAATTTCAAACACCGGTAGCACTGCTGCAACGGTGGGACATATTCAAAAACACGATATGAAAACAAATCATACTTAACAGAATCTGGTAGTATATTAAATAGGAATGTTATACTGACTGTTTGCAAAGGTACTTTTTCATTATTTACTTTTTTAGTGAACCTTCTAATCGCAATAATTTCATAACGTGATGATAATTTACAATACAACTCTTTATTTGATATATTTGCAGGTACAAGGCGGATGATGCCCGTTTTCTCAATTTGTGCTGCTGGGATAAAAGCCCTCAAATTGTACTTCTGAAGAAATTCTATTCTAGAATATTCGTAAGGAATTTATTTTTTAAAAAGAACATTTATAAAACAAAAGGAACATAATCTCTGCACAAAATAATAATAAATCACGTTTACGCTTTGACGACCGATCACCGGTTCCCCAGAGCGTGGCTCCGCACGAGTTTTTATAGGCAACTTCAATAATTTAACTCCCATACTATTAATTGTCTATACTCCTACCATACTATTGATCGTCTATACTCATATACTGTTAAACCTAAAACTCCCATACTAATAATCTTCTATACGGCTTCTCCTGACATGAGGCCGTCCTCGGGCTCTTCACTCCTCTTTTACACCTAATCAAGCAGTGGCGTGTAGGCTGGACGTGGTCCCGTTGGTCCTCAGCGACAGGCGAGACGAGGGTACGTGGACCTCTGTTTTCCAGAAGGAGACGATTTCGGCATGTAGTCATCTGCAGGTAGACTCGCGTCTTGATCTTGGAGACATGAAGTCACCATACCGGACTCCTTGTTTTCGGCGTCTGCATCTAAGCACGCAATATAAAACAAGTAAAGTGACAGAAAAGGAAGGAAACTAAAGCTTTACATCTCACAATAGACGCATCCGCCATATTGATAAGATGGAAAACAGCAAAATTGCTAATTAAGCAAAAGACAAAAACGTTGTCATAGCTCAATTAGGCCCCAAGCCATAGGTAGAACGTTTAACATAACTCAGTCAACCCCTCCCCACTAAGTCATAGGTAGAACGTTTAACATAAGTCAACTCCTGAGTCATAGGTAGAACGTTTAACATAACTCAGTCAACTCCTCCACACTAAGTTATAGGTAGAACGTTTAACATAACTTTCCAACTTGTGAGGGTCCTTAAGCGTCACATCTTAAACAGGGACTCTATGATCGGAGCAGCCGCATGGGCGCCCACCAGTTACGGCAGCACTAACATCACACTTGCGTTCCATGGTTGCTCCCATAACTCATGACCCGTGCTAATGCCAAAGACAGTCCGTGACTATCCCGCTACAGCCATCATACGGTACACACGGCTCTGTGCGTTAATCTGAAACAGAATTCACAGAATGCACAGAGTATCGCATAGCTCGGTCACTCCTGACTTAACTTTAAATTTTTATGAACCAAGTCACAGATCAAAGGATATTAACTCTTTTAATCAAAATAATACCTGGTTTTCAGAGTTACACCATCTACTAGACTCAAAAGTAGAGAAACAAAAGTAAACAATTAAATTAAAATTAAACTCTACATGTTGACTACATATCCAGTAACCTCCAGTTACTTAACCATTTCATTTGTGCGTCCACACTGTATCACAAAGTCACACCCGGACTGTTTCTCACAACTGACATCAACCAAAGCTGAATGTCTACCGCATACTCACGGACTACTGTAAACAGATACAGATTTATACTAAGGTATGGCCACAAATAAACACCTGGTATTGTCCCATCACAATGTAAACTTTAATTAAATCTTTGTCTCCTCAGACATTACACTTTTACTTTCCTCTAGATCGTCAGTAGAGCTCTGATCACCTGACATTTTCTTTATCTATCATGAGAATCCATCATGAGAATCCATTATGAGCACACATGTAAGTACGGTTAGAGTTCAAAGCTTTCAGGGTATAACAATCTCCCTCTAAAACCTCTACAACTTAAAATAGACCTCTATATTTAGGAACTAACTGTCTGGTTGCGCTCCTCATTTTGTATCAACATAAAATCAGCAAGACAAAACGCTATCGAACTTTCCCTTTGTTTGATCAAACCTCTGTTCCTCATATGAAGCCGCATTTTCCATATTGCGAACTGCCTCGCGCCTAACAGTCGAAGTCTAACTCAGTCCAAGGCTTATCTGAAAAACAGATTACTAGAGTCCATGTACCACTGAGTATAGTCGTTTAAAAAGAACAAACATCATTCCGAAACCAATAAAAATTATAACTTTAGCAAGCTCCAAGTTACACATTCGCGTAGCTCCAGCACACAAATTTTCTAAGCTCTAGCCCATGGGAAGCCAAAGGTCACCCTCAACTCCTATGATCTTACTACAAGGCAAGATCCGAATGTACTATCAAATTGTACCGCCTCATACTACGCTACCTACAGATTACACAAAGAGCAGACGTTGATCTGTACTAAGCTACGGTTACGGCATTCTGATACAGTCACTGACCAAACGAATAGAGAACGTATTAACTACCTGGCGCTGAGGAATCTTCCTAATACGACCATGACATTTAACATAAACAGAAAGGAAACTACGAACTCATTTTGCATTTTCAAAGTCAAAATTTCTTCATTCAAAAAAGCTTATTTTAAGCTCTTATTGAACGTCAAAAAATACCACGACGCGTAAATCTGTGGGTCAGTAATGCCCAGTTTTACTATTCCGATATCAGCCCATCACTTAACTCTCTAACGTTTCATAACCTTAAAAACCGACGGGTATAGTCTGGGTATGTAAGGAACTTATCTAGATTGGAACTCATAACTGCGTATAAAATATTCGCTATGTCTGGTTTTCTGGGACACAAGCTACTTTTTAAAGTAATTCTAACTGCAGTCGTTCGTTAACCATTCATTAACTTACGTTTTTGGATCTACTTGTAAACAATTAACAATACAAGACAGACCATACATGTCAATAGCATTTAGTTTAAATTCGAAATGTAATGAGTTTGATTAGACCTCACCGGCAAATCTTATTGCATCGATAATGCGATCGGCCGCACTGAAGTGGCCCACTGCGGCACTCACGGAACGCTCCGTTGAAGACGGGGCCACTGAAGCCAGCCCGCCATGCTCGCCTTTGAAGCGCGCTTGATGGCGGCGGCGTCGACGTCGTCGACTTTGCTACCGTCGCGGGCTCCGCAGATTGCCACAGCGATGCGCCACAGGCACCACAGACTGCCACAGAGAGGAGCCGCCGACTCGGCAACTGTCGCGAGCTCGGCAACGACGACGGCTGCCACAGGCACCGCAGACTGCAACAGCGGCAGCACAGATGCTCGGCTGCCTTCGTTGTGAAGAAGCCGGATAATGTCGTTCCTGCAGAGATGTAAATTTGTTGCATTGTTTCGGTTAAAACATTGCTAGTATGGCTGCGTCGAGTGTGACGCGAATTATGATGTCTAGAGTTTGAACTACGATTTCTCGAGCTAAATTTACTTTTTCGCTTTTTACGAGGCATATTTTCAACAGATATTCTCAAATTAGGTGCATTTCGAATCAAAATATTAATTACGCAAAATAATTGCGAAGTCACGACAAAATAACAAAATGGAACCGTAACTCTTTTAGAAATAAAGATGTTACAAAATGTGTTCGCAAATAAAGCTTCGATTCACTTTTTAATAAAAAAACTGGAACGTACTCACCAAACCTGTCGTTTACACTTAAGCAAAAGATTTTACCACAATTAACTTACGACCCAATATAATTTTTTTACGAGGGTAGGCACCCAAAGTAAAAATACGTCGCCGATTCTCTGAGTATCCAAAAACGCTTCAAATCAGAATGTACGGACTCAGAATGTAAGACACACGAGTTTTCGAATCCAACTTCTGATCTAGAATATTCGTAAGGAATTTATTTTTTAAAAAGAAAAACAAAAGGAACATAATCTCTGCACAAAATAATAATAAATCACGTTTACGCTTTGACGACCGATCACCGGTTCCCCAGAGCGTAGCTCCGCACGAGTTTTTATAGGCAACTTCAATAATTTAACTCCCATACTAATAATCTTCTATACTATATTATTTAAGAAATTGTTAGCCGTGCTATATTGTTTAAAGACCAATATGATTTTATTAGCGTTCACTCTGTGAATTGCTGTCACGCCTTTTACTTCTGGTGAAGTAGTAAATATATGATTCAAATAGATTGCACTTTTATTACCAATTCTCTCAGTGCCCACCGATTGAACATATACTTTAAAATCAATATTTGTTGAGTTATCTGGATATATTCTTTTATAATAGGGTAGGTAAGAATCTTGCTCACCCCCGCCGTTGGAGTTCTTTCCCTCATATCTCTTGCGTTTTGTACCATCAGGGTTGAGGGCTGTGCGGCTTAGCAGAGGGTACTTGTTTTTTTTCATGTACAAATCTTAACGTCCCCCTAGACGATATCCTTCCTTCAAACTTCCCCAGACCTGTTAATATCCCATTCTTTTTAAAACTTGACCCCCATGTTGTCAAAGTACTACATAAATTCCTCTGTATTAATAATATAAAGCTTTAGCATTCCCATTTCTCCTCCTTGTAATTATTGGTGTCGTCCTTTACATTTTAGTCATCCTTTTTTTTAATTTATTCATCTTCTAACAATCTTTTAAGTTTCTGTTCAGGTATGTCAAAATAAAGTACAAGAGTCATCACTAGATTAGTGATGGCTCTTAGTAGTGATTCACTAACAAGAAATTTTATCAATAACTCTGTTTTTATCGATAACTTGACAGTTGACAATTGACATTGGCAGAATCATGAATCATCAAGCTATCCTCAATCCTTGATGGAGCCACTATATTAAAAAAAAACGAATACTAATCTAATATATAATAAACGAATGCTTTCTTTTATCAATCCTAATCATGAAGAATTTAGAGATTTGGGACGTGTCTGTAAGAAAAATTTATATAGCTCCAGACGAAACGTTTCTCATGTGTTACAAATATAATACAGAAAACAAGATTGAAATATTTGCTATCACGTATAACCTACAAGTAGTAAAAACAGATGAATTAGGAGTTATTAATTGGTGTTTAGATATTTCTGAGCTCGGGAAAAATAAAAATGTTCCTTTAAATATAACTCACATCTCATTAACAAATCTCCTATGTGTGGCTTTAGGTAATGGCCAATTGGTCACAATTAATGAATATGGAACTTATTATGCCCTAGTTGGTGTTTTTGAAAATGGTTTACTGGTAAGTATTAAAAAAACATTCATTTTATATTTAATAACATCTAATATATACTTTTTGTATTTAAGGCAATGGAATGGAGCCCAGATCAGGATTTGTTGGTTTTGGTCACTAAAGATTTAAAAATGATAACAATGTCATATACCTTTGATCCAATCAGTGAGGTTGAATTACTGGACCAAGATTTTGGTAATAAACAATTCATTACTGTAGGGTGGGGTAAACAAGAAACCCAATTTCAAGGATCTGTTGGGAAACAGGCAGGAAAAATGCCGCCAGATCTAATTGATGGTAAGCAATTTTATTTTGGTTAAGAGACCTGCAGTAATTGTTAAACTGTGATATAGATTTGAAAATCAGTTATATTGTAAATAAATTTAATTAAGGCTGTATGTGTTAATTTTCTTTTTAGACCAGTATGTAACCACAGACACATTAGTTAAGATAACTTGGAGGGGAGATGGGAATTTTTTTGCTGTTGGTTTCCAAATGGAAGGCATAAGAAGGTTTAAAGTATTTGACAGAGAAGGATGTTTGCAATATACTAGTGAAAAACAACTTGGACTTGAATCTAATTTACTATGGCGTCCTTCAGGAAATCTTATAGCAACCACACAAAAATATAGTGACAAACATTGTGTCGCTTTTTTTGAAAAAAATGGTTTGAAGCATGGAGAATTTGTTATTCCAATAAATTCTACTACTGTTGTTGAAAATCTGTACTGGAGCTCCGACTCAGAAATATTGACATTACAGTGCAAGGATTTAGAAAACAATACACAGAAGCTGCTCCTCTTTACTACCAGCAATTATCATTGGTATCAAAAACAGACTTTGGTGTTCAATGAAACAGTAAAAATTAACCACACTTTTTGGGATAGTCACTTTGATGTGGCCAGCCATAAAAAATTACATGTCATATTAGATGATGGAAAACATTATATTTATGTATGGATATGGGGTGTTAGCCGTAGTTGTGGTAAAACCAATCAAGATGATGCTGTAGTTGGTGTTATTGATGGAAAGAAAATATTAATGACTAGTTTTCGACAAACTGTTGTTCCACCTCCAATGGCAAATTTAGAATTGGAAATAGAATCAGATGTTCATTCAATTCACTTTGCTCCACCTATTTCAAAAACTGATCAATGTATAGATACCAATGCATTTTTTGTTACAACTGAAGAAAGACTAATATTTTTTGAGCAAACACAAAAGTTTCCCTTGAAATATGAAATTGTGAAGTCTTTGGAGATGGATGCTTTTAGTTATCCATTTGAATATTATAATTGGTGTTGGTTAAATAATGAAACAATTGTAGCAATACACGTTGATGACTTTTATAGGTACAAGTTGGTAGAATATAATATCACAAGTGATACACTTTTACAAAGACATGTCATATCTTTACCTAAGGCAGTAGTGAAACTCAAGTGCCATCCAAATGATTCCTCTTTATTATTTTTGCTACTTATTTCTGGTGATATTATCCAATACACCAGTGGACATGGTTTCATTATGCAAGACATATCTTTAAATGTACCATGTCAAAACTTTGATGTAGTATCAATTAAAAAGCAACTGTATTTTATTGGACTGTCTCATAAAGGAAAATTGTACATAAATGGTGCTCAAGCTATGAATAATGTGAGCTCATATTTTATCCACACAAGTTTCCTTCTGATCACAACATTGAAACATTTGCTTTTATGTGCAGAGTTAACAGAATCTGGTCTTAATGGTATAATAGATTACCAAAAAAGTGAACCTTTTCAAGTTTACAAAAGAAAGATTGAGAGAGGAGCAAAGTTAATTATAGCTGTGCCAAACGCAATAAATACAATTTTTCAAATGCCGAGAGGGAACTTGGAAACTGTTCAACCTCGTCCTTTATCTCTTAAAATAGTTGGTGAGTTGCTAAATGAACTAGCATATGAGAAAGCATTTGATTTAATGAGAAAACAGAGAATAAATCTCAATTTAATTCATGATCACAACCCTTCATTGTTCTTAAATAATATTGACAAATTCTTGGATTCTATTAAAAATCCATCTTGGCTATGCCTTTTTCTCTCAGACTTAGAAAATTGTGATGTTACTAGAACTATGTATGGCAGTAGCTATAGCAAGAGTAATACTAATGAAAAATATCTAAAAGTGGTTGAAATATGCAATGTAATGCAAAGACATATAATTAATAGAACTGACAAGAATGATAAAATATTACCATTATTAACCACATACATTAAGAAAAATACAATTGATGATCTGGAAAATGCACTATTAATAATAAAAAAACTTAAAAGCAAAGAATCTGCTGGTATTAAACTTCCAGTGGGATCAGATGAAGCTGTTAAATTTTTATTATATATGGTTAATGTTGATGAACTTTTTAATGTTGCTCTAGGTATGTATGACTTTGATTTAGTTTTACTTATTGCTAATAAGTCGCAAAGAGATCCGAAGGAATACATCCCAATGCTAAATGATTTAAATGTGATGGAGGAAAATTATAAAAAGTTTACCATAAATAAACATTTAAAACGGTTTGACAAGGCAGTAAAATATCTTGCAATGTGCGGTTGCGAAAAATATGACGAATTAACAGTGTTTGTAAAATATCATAGCTTATACAAAGAAGCATTGGCACTGTTTAATATTGACGATAATATTTTCAAGCAAATATCAGACGACTTTGGTCTATATTTGAGATTAAAAAAGGATTTTATAGAAGCAGGCATAATATATGAAAAAGCTAAACATTATGTAAAGGCTATAGAGTGTTTCAAAGATGCAATGGAATGGGAGTTAGCTTTAAATATTGCACAACATTTATCCAATGAAGAATATAATATACTCTGTCAGTAAGTTCACAGAAACATTATGTATTTAATTTCTAACAAAAAAATGGTTTCTTGAATTGTATATTTAATATAATAATGTGTTTTAAAATAAATTAATCATGTGTTCAGGGAACTTGCGAGCGCACTAAAAGAAGAGAAACGTCATACAGAAGCATTAATTGTATTAGAACAATATTTGAAAAATAAAGAAGAAGCCATATGCTATGCTATAGAAAATGGCCAATATAAAACAGCAATCAGACTTTGCTCAAATTTGAATAAACAGGATATTATAGGTAACTTTCAATTTTTCCTTTTTAAACTGTTTTATTTAATCTTTCCTAATACAAAAGAAATTATCGGATAATCAATTATTGCCTGCTTGAATTTAAATAAATAAGATATAGGTAACTTGCAATTCTTCCATATTAAACTGTTTCATTTATTCTTTCCCGATACTAAAAAAAAATCAGATAAACAATTATTGCCTGCTGCATTAGAAGAATTGCATAATTTGCAAGAGTTGATTGCAAAAAATTTTGATGAATTTACCAAATACAAAACAAGGCTGTCGAAGGTTCGGGAAATTAAGGTTGAGAAAAAGGATCAAATTTATAAGGATTTTAATGTAAACAAGGAGGATGATCTATACTCAGACGCAGGAAGTACTATAGCTTCTTCATCTGGATCTGGGTATGTTCAGTTAACCGATATTTTTATTATATGTTGTCCCTTATTTTTGTTGTAACTATAACTTTATGTAAAGAATACCATTAAAAAATTAAAAATGTTCAAAATGCAGTATTCAACTTGATTTACATTTTTGATTACAGATTTGATTTGATACAGATTTGATTACTTGGTATACACTTTTTATTGATATATTATGATTTTGTTTTATAGAAGATCTTATAGATCAAGTAAAAATAGAAGAAAACACCAGAGAAAAGTGGCATCTTTGAAAGAAGGCTCTCAGTATGAAGATGTTGCCCTTATAATGACACTTCACAATCTTGTTACATCTTCTTTCAACTTAAGATTGCAAGTCAAAAATATAAACATTGTTTTAAAGTATTTAAACAAAGATAAAATAGCGAATCAATTACAGGTACTTGTTATTTTATCGCGTTTTGGGTATAAAAGTTTATAAATTTAATTACAATCATGTTTTGTTTGTGTTCATTTAGAAAAATCTTGAAAACTTGTTAAATTTCATGAAAGATAGTTTCAAAGAAATTTGGACAAATGAATTAGTTTTACAAGCTGCCAAAGCTGCAGTGGATGCTGAAAATATTCCTGAAGGTTCAAACATAATAGCTGATAGCCTGTCATTTCTTGGTAAATATATTGTATTAAATGATTTTTATTTTATTTATTTCTTATAATTAATACATTTTTTATTATTTCAGAACCTCATGTAAGAGTAGCTCCCATTATTCAGAATTTCAGTTGGAAACTGGAAGAGTTAAGCTAAATTACTATTATCTGCATATATCACTATGCTAGTGTAAATAATAAAGGTGATGAGTATGTATATAACATTGTAAAATTAAATCACAATTTTTATTTCATGTTGTTTTCATTACACAAAAATATCTAACAATTATTTAAACAAACATTTGGAGGAGCAAAAGTAACATTCAAATCCAATACTGCTATTTCTATTGTTATCAAAAACTACATTCCTAAAATAATCCTTTAGATCAAATTCTTTGATAATGTAACATTTGTCACTTATAACAGGATTTCCACAAACACACATGTTAGCATTATCTAAAAATCTAACCAATGTCCATGGTATAATGTTAGCGGCATAAAACAGTTTGTATTTTAGAACTGCTTTTGAAGCTAAATGAGTTAAATTGTTGATGTAAAGTTCCCAGGCTCCAAATTTATTTTGCTTTGGATATATCTCAGAGTTTGTATTGAAGAAGTTGGATGAAAGGTCTATGTGTTCCAGGCGACATTGCATTAAACTGCATGGTAACAATTCTAACTTGTTCTGGGAAATATCTAGATATCTGTAAATGGTTTAGAAATTATAATTATACATTATCATACAAACCAAACTATTTTTTTGTTATTAAAAAAATGCTTTACAGATTTTATTATTAGTCAAATTTTTCACAATGCAATTAGTCTTATCTCTTTACTTAGATTCAAATTAATAGCTGGCATAAAGTTAGCAGTGGTATCAGGACTTTCAAGATCTTTAGAATTTTGTAAAAAGAATTTTAGAATATTGATAGAATTTTGTACATAACATACCTCAATGTTCGAATACGACCAATGGTAGCAGGTATCTTTTTTAATTCATTATCATTTACTCTTAATGTTACTAAATTTATTAGTTTCCAAATTGCTGTGGGTAAATATTTAATTTTATTTCCACTTATATCTAATAATTTCAGTGATTTAGTTATCTGTAACCAAAATAATGAAAAAATCTTATTTTTTTTATTAAACAAAAATAAATGTAGATTTCAATCTTTTTTTATGAGAATTAATAGAAACAAGTTTGTATTTAGACACATCCCTTTTTGTATGTACAGACTTATCTACCTAAACACCTACTTCATCATTAACATGTAATAAAATAGACCTATTTTAGTTGAGTCTAAACTTATTCTTGATAAAATGAGTGATACTACTTTTTCATATTTCTATTTCCCCAAGGTGGGATTTAAAATTACTAAGGTTGTATGAAAACCTATTTCTGGCTCTTGTTATTGTTATATTTTATATAAAACACAAGTGAAAAATTTTGTTTCACTTAATAATAAACTATCATAACTATAATTATTCCCTATTTTTACAAAATCAACATTGGAGCTATCACATTTTTAAGCAATTTTTAAAGACAATTGTTTAGTTAAACAGTAGCACTTATAAAGATTGTTTTTCATCTATAAATTATGTATAAAAAACCAACATGCAAACCTTCAACATCCATGACTTTATCAATGGGTATGGATCCACATTTCACAAGCTCAAAAAAAAATAAGATGGGACTCTGAGCATTGTATTTTTTATTTGAAAAGTTGGCATGTAAGATTATGCTTCATTTCATGTTAAGTGCCTACCACCACAGATATCTACAACACCACAGGCACTACTTCCCATTTGGACATCAATCCAAACTGCTGCATGACCAACATAAAAGTCAAACAAGATATAGCCATCCATATATTACATGCAAAATTAAAATTTGTAGTACCTGCAGACCTAATAACCACTGCCAGTCAATTAAATTATTCTTTCCTAGATTATTTTTGGAAAGGTGCAACTCTCGTAAGCTTGACATTCTACCTGTAATTCATAATTATTACTTAAAAGATTGTTCTAAAAGTTTTCAATAATTTTTATAAATTTGCATACTTGCCCAATTCTAAAGGTAGTTTTTCAATTTCATTATTGCTTAAATCTAAAAATACTAATCGACTCAAGAGTAGTATATCTCTACGAAAGTTAAACAGTTTTAAACCAGACATATGAAGATATTCTAATGTTCGAGGAAAACCTTTAATAGGAATATCACTTCGGTCATGAATTGTCATTTTAGTAGGTGCATTATCAGAAGTTACGCTTATATTAGATAAATTAGGTAGTTGCATTCCATTATAATCTCCAGTGATACATGACTTTAATAATCTCAAAAAGCATTTCAATTGTATCACTTCACATTTTATACATAAATCATGAGGCGGTTCTTCAAATCTTATAGTAGCCTTTCCTTCATTTAAACATTTTACAAACACTTGCTTTACACTTTTAATTTTATATTTAGTACCGGTTTTATTTATTGATGAAAAGTGTATGAGAAAAAAGTCTCTTTCACGTTTAGGTTCTTTTCCTAGAGCTAATGTGGATTTTAAGTATTTTCCACCTGATCTTATATTAACATTAGCATGTAGCCTATTAACAAGTTCTACTTGACAAAGTAATTTCATTTTGTTCACCAGTTTCGGGAAATATTTTAATGATTCCGCCAAAATTTACATCAGTTTTGTAGGTGTCATGTAACTAATTCTGTAATTGTCATTTGTCAAGTGTCAACTGTCATTTGCTAGCAGTTAGCAGGGTAACCAGAATACCTTTTCGCATTTTCCTATTAGCGGATATAAATAATTTTCTAAAATGATACCGATTTCTGCAACTCTTTTCTAAATCCTTAAAGCTACTAAAAAAAGTAACATTTAGCTTCCAATGCCAATGAAATGTTGTGGCGGCCAGTTGTACCCACATCTAGCCTTAGACCAAGCGAGTTCGTCCTTACTTGCGAGAACAGTGCAACCCGGGATTAGCTGGCGACTACCTAATGCTTTACGCTGGACAGCTTGGCGTTGCCCGAACTGCTCAAAGAGGTTGCGCTCAATATCAGTTCTGAGTCAAAGGACACAAGTCTAGGTCAGCGGGGGAGGCAGTGCTGGCGCATCAGGGGTGGGGACTGCCCCGGGGGGTTGCCTCTTCCTTGGCAACATCAAGGCCCGACTCCTCATCAGCCCGGGTAGCGGCGAAACGTACTTGGTGCCTCTGCCACTGTCGCGGTCGGTGTATGCAGATAACTCGCGCATGAACTATAGCGGGAACATGTGCCTGGGCTTTTATATTTAATGTTATTTATTTGTTCCCTTTATATTATGCTTAAAGCTGTTCAAGAAAACCTTCATCACTCGAAAGCGGCCTAGGTAGGGTACTTAGTGCGGCAACATAGTGATAACATTCTGGAGATGGTTTTGATTTAAAGGCCATGGATTAACAGATCTCTTCTGTTGGGTACCTCAGGTAAGCTTTTGTGTAATAAATCTATAATGTTGGAGGTATCTGGTACCTCCAACATTATAAATTTCCAAGGCGTGTATAGTGTTCAAAAAGATGGTCAAAACCTACCTATACCTTATCTCTGCACTGATGACCAAGTCACCGCCTAAGTTGTAATACTAGATAAACAAGCTAACAAGGCAAAAGAGTGATCGCCTGCTCTGCATATCTACACGGAGATCACCCAGATCCTACGTCTCAGCTAATCACCTGAATCACCTCAAGACATGTACCATTTCTTTAAATTATTTTCAGTGGAATTCGTTTATTCGTTATTTTTAAGTATATATTTCTCCACAAATGTAGGGATATTGACAAGGATTAGTCGGGAATTGGTTAATTTGACATAGCAACGTACGATTTTGACAAAAAATCTCCCTTAGTGTATTGTGTACACATACAAGCCCTATATTTCAATCGATAAATTTCTAATCAATAAAGCCTGTAAGTTTGATAAATCTACATTAAATCACGCATATTTATACAGTTGAGATAAAAAAATAAAGTTGGAATTTATTAGAAGTACATATTTTTTATATGGGGTTTCTATCATTCTTGGTGTCTGTGTTATATTTTTTTATTATTTCTTAATTTTAAGCACTACTGAAATGGCTGACTTAATTGTTCAATCACGATTTGCCGGACTTGATATTGAAGATGATGATGCTTCACCCATTTGCATCCCAAAACCCAAGAGTAATAAACCTGAGAACACAAAAAAGTGCGATGTTTCTAAAAAGGCAAAGAGTAACGGTAACAAATCTCAGGTGCTCTTTTTATTTTACTGTTGGCCATAATTTGTATAAAGCATAAGGTCAATCTGCAATTATGTTACAATTTAAAAATATATGTTTTATGTATACTAATTTTGATATATAATATTGATTTGAATAAAATTCACATTACATTTACTTTAAAGTCTCCTACTTGGAAGATTTGAAATATTTAACAATTTCTGCTTGTTGCTTTAGTTTTTATATAAAAAAATTAGCTATACAGACTATCAGCATCTTCAATACATGATAGCAAATATTTCTTCTAATAGAATGCCAATAAGAAAAAGAAGCAAAAGCAAAATGGCCCTTCTTCAGAACAGTGGGAACAGTGGAAGCAAAAAGATGAGCAACTTGTTGATGGAAGTTTTGAGACAGAATTACAACAGGTAATTTTATTTATTACTCTATGAATTTTTGTATACAATAATCATAAAGCCAATTGCTTATTCTAATAACAATAACATAAAATTATGTTAAGCGGAAATGCTGGAGGTCTTTTTTCTGTAAAAATGCTATTGTCTGTTTTCTTTCTGGTTTGTGGGCATAAATTAATGATATTTTTACAGTAATATAAATATGAACTAATTGTTTCTTCCTGTTTTTTTGATGATGCATTCATATCTTTATAAGCACTAGGACCCTCTAAAAATGTTCAAAGTTGCTTTAGATTGCTATCAACTGAGTAGTAGTGTACAAATTTGAAAATTATTAATGAAAAACCGGCCAAGTGCGAGTTAGACACGAGCATGACGCGGTTCCGTACCATTATCTATAAAAATGGCATAAAAATAATGTCTGTTGTATGGGCGCCCCACTTAAATGTTTTTTATTCTGTTTTTAGTATTTGTTTTAATAGCGGCAATAGAAATACATCTGTAAAAATTTCAACTGTCTGACTATCACGGTTTATGAGACACAGCCTATAGACAGACATCGTAGTCTGAGTAATAGGGTCCCATTTTACCATTTGGGTATGAAACCCTAAAAAGAAAACATAGGACACAGTCTATTCAGTTTATGAAATATCTTTTAAATTTTTTCAATATTTGTGGGGAATTATTACTTTTTAATTAAGCTCAAATTAATTTTTTTTACTTTAGCTATCCAGTTGGATCTGCAGTTGTTCTTGTCACACATAGTACCTGGAGGACTGAGCTTTGCTCGGTTTGTTTTTTTTGTTAAATCATATATTTTGGAAATTACATTTAGATACAAATTACTGAGTAATGAAATATGCATAATGTTTTTCGATCTTACCGACGTAATAATAAGAAAATATGAACTGGTGTTTTTCACGAAAGAAAGAACTTTAAAAAAAAAAGGAAAAAAGTAACAAAATAACAAATCGATAAAAAATAAAAAACAAAGAAAGCAATTATCTGGAATCGAAAAAAAAGTAAAAAAATAAGTGTGTAAATGATCGCGATACGAACTACGGCCGTCTGTTTTGGGGCCGCCCATTTACCGACCGAGCTATTATAACATTTTTTTTGCGGCGAATTTTACCGTCATATTCGAATGACATTTTTCATTCCCTGAAAACCTTCAGGGCCACAATGTTGAATTTGCAAAATGTTGAATTCCTAAAATGTTGAATTCGCAAAATATTGATTCCCAAAATGATGAAGTCGTAAAAAGTTGAATTTCCCACCCAGGTCACAATGTTGAATTCCTAAAATGTTGAATTCGCAAAAAGTTGAAGTTGCGAAATGTTGAATTCTAACTAATGAATTGTTGGGTGTATGGTATTATTGTTCCGTGTTGGTTTGTACTATCGAGGTCATATCGAAATAGTGCAAAACAAAAGGAAATCGAAAAAGAAAAGTCGAAAACCAAGTAACATCGAACAAAAAAATTGTGTAACATTTTTTTTTTTGTTTTTTTGAATAACTGATGTTACTCTTTCAGTCCTTAGACTTAAAGAACCTTCATCTTCTTATATGGAATGAATTATTATATGGTATGAATTATTTTCTTATATGGAAGGGAAAGAGCTCCACGGGAGGTTGTACAAGGCTGTACGAACCTTTCAGTGACCGCTTTGAGGAAACCGAAGGTTTTGTCTGTGCGATACAGGATCAGGTTATTAAGACGAACAACTATCGGAAATACATCCTAAGGGATGGCACCGTCAATGGCATTGCTAGTTCAACTTTTAGAGAACTCAACATTTTAGGAATTCAACATTATGAGACCAGTAAATTCAACTTTTTACGATTTCAAATTTTTACGACTTCAACATTTTGGGAATGAACATTTTGCGAATTCAACATTTTAGGAATTCAACATTTTGCAAATTCAACATTGTAGTCCTGAAGGCCTGAACATAGGGATAAAAGGACATTTTCTACTAGATCGATTTTTCGCCCGCGAATCTACGCACCTACTAAATTTCATGAAAATCGCTGAAGCCGTTTCCTTACTTGTATTTGGTAGAAGTTGGTAATTGTTATTTAGTTTAATAAATTCTAACACAAAGTTACAATTAAAAGTTTGTGTTCAGAACACAAAGTTTGTTTTCATGATGAATTTTCTTCATTAGTTGACATCCTTTACTTTTAGTCAATCAAATCTTCACATATTAGAACCCCCAGGCTTGCCTTTAAAAAGGGTTTTTTCATTGTCAATCGGTCCACATTCTAATATCTATAGCCGAACCGATGTTTTTTCGTATCCCATAGCAATTTTCGCCCGATTTTAACGCCGCGAGCATCTTACATCTTTCAATTGCCTGTCAATTATTACGTGGGTCATACTGAAAGTTCTTCGAAAATCATAAAAAGGCTAAATGTAGAAAGTTACCTAATATTTTTATTTTTGTTCAAACTAGTCACCGTTTCTATACATCTTTGCCTTCGATAGAACCACTGCGAAAAATAGAGGGTCCATTCAACCCTAAGGGTCTTCTATGGCATTTTGGAACGCTCTCACCGCTTTTTCAGCTTATATTTGATATGCTTGTAGTTTATCTTTGATTCTTGGGAATAAATGAAAGTCGCGGGGTGCCTGGTCTGGAGTATATGGCGGATGAGTCATTATCTCGACACCTGGCATAGTCAAATGTTCAACTATTCGTTTTGCGGAGTGCGAACACGCTGAAGCGTTGTCATGGTGAAGGAGGATCCTGTTTTGGGGACACTGCAGTCGAATTTCCAAGACACCAGGCCTGCAATAGCACAACTGTCGTGAAATGAACTTTCAGAGGCAATAATTTTTTTTGCTTGTCTTCCTTTCTTTGCTTTAGTTGGACGATCCTCAAAAGTAAACACCCGCTAAGCAGATTGTCTTTTGATTTCAATGTCGTAGCAATGTATACTTATAGCTTTTATAAACTGTGACGATGTTAAATATAGTATTTGAGTCACCTCCGGTGAACTATTCTCTAATTCACCCGAAGGTGTTTCTTGTATTTTGTCAAAGTATGGGGAACCCATTTAAGCGTCAAAAGCTTTGTACCAGACAAAGATATCTGACGCCAATGGTCGTGTGATTTTGTTGATTTATTTAAAAACAAATGACTAATGAATGCAACATATAACATTACGTTACCAAAAGTTCTGTATTCAAAATTTAAAAGAAGTTTTCATTGGCAATTTTGCAAAACAGGCCAGTTCTAAATAAATGTTTTAAGTGTAACCCTGGTATCGCTTTAGCCCACTGTTTTCTTTTCAACATCCTTCATTGAGGGCAATCTTATAAGAAATTATTTTTCAATAAGCATGTCTTCATTCAATTTTATTTTCATCAGGCCCTGTAGTTTTTCTTTCTTTTGTTCGTCATGCTTCGGAATACGCCAGTTACCTTATTCTATTTTCGAAACGTGTATTAGTTTAGGAATATTTTTTTTTATACAACCGCTGCTAAAAATACTGCGCTAAAAATGCAAGAATTTATTCAACCCAGTCATATGCTTTGTGATCTTCACAACTTTCATTAAAGTTTTATACGTAAGGCTGTTCAAAAATTTTTGGTTTTGGAAAATTTGATAACTCGGTAAATATTGATGTTTAAAGAATGCAAATGTTTAATACAGTTTTAAAAAGTTATCCTCTATATGTGTGTTCATTTATTGTCGCGATGGTAAAGACACGCTGTACATACATATATATTCAAATATTTAAATATGTATAAAGATGTATACTTGTATGAGTAAATAACAATTAGCTTCTACTTTTAACTACAGTCCATATCTTAGGTCGAATTTGTCTTTAACAAGAGTTCACGAACCAATATTTTGAAAGATGTCTTAGTTTTTGCGTTTCTTACGTTATCGGGCAAGGAGTTCCATAGATGTATAGCTTGGATAGTAAAGGAGTTAACAGAGACCTTGACCAACTCCAAACTTTGTCTAGGTTTTCGTTTAATTTTACTATCGCAACATGAAGGTCGTCTATATCGACTTGCACATAAAGCTGAAGATCGTCAGCATACAAATGATACGAACAGTTCAAAAAAGCAGTGAGAAAGTTAATAAAAATAGAGAAGATTATGGGAGACAGTACGCCGCCTTGTGGCACGCCAGATTCAACATCAGCCCAAGCCGAGCTTTTTTGCCCCAAGATGACTGCTGACGCCCACGAAGATAAGATGAAAACCATTCTACAACAGAGTCTGCAAAATTAATATGGAAAGGAGTATATCATGGTTGACGGTGTTAAAAGCGTTTGAAAAGTCCACAAGCACTAGCACAGTTACATTTTTATCTTCCATGCCTTGCTTATGTCATCGGTAACTTTGATTAAGGCTGTGGTAGTGCTGTGGCCAGAACGAAAACCAGACTCATAGATACTCAGTAGGTTATGTTTATTTAAAAATAAGATTTGCTTGTGAACACAGGCTTCCAGAATTTTTGACAGAAAGGGCAGAATTGATATTGGACGGAAATAATTCGGTTCCGTAGGATTAGGAACTTTAGGAAGAGGTCGGACATAGGCTTTATATTATATATTTAACTTATCAAAATTATAATTGTATAACTTATTAAAATCGTATTAAACATTTATTTTCATTAAACTTACATTAATATTTACCGCGTAATTTAATTTTAAAAAACAAATAATTTTAGAACACCCCACGTATACAACTGTAACGTAAACTTCAATTGTAAATAAATAAAATTATAAATAAATAATTAATTAGTTTGCTTGAAATTTTTTTTGTAATTATGGATTTTTTTACTTTTATATTTTTTATGATTATTGCCAAATAGCGTTAGAAGTGTGTTCATTGAAGGTCGCGGTTATAATACCATGTTGTATGTTTATTATGAAGCTGGACCTCTATTTTTTATATTTGGATACTCACGTATGAATAGCCGCTTCGCTTTTCCATGACGATACTGCTCCAACACATTTTATTTGATATGATCCCTTTCATGTTAAATTAACATATGTTTTATCGCCAAAAATTGGGCGATTATACTCCACAGTATTTATTAGTCACATTCAAAATAAGACTCTGCTTTTACTGTAAAGAATAACAGGTATGATACCCAACAATAGTTAGTCCCTAATCCACAGCATCCATTGAACAGCAATCACAAAGTAGTAAGAGAGATTTGATCTATTATTTAAGCTTCAAGCGGCTAAATATGATAATTAGATTCTTACCCACGAACTTTTTATTGGTTGTTTCCTGGACAGCGAAAAAATTAAAATTAATAAACCGACTTCAAAATGAATAAAATAACTTTAAGCGGGCTCGGACTAAGAAAAAAGTATAGACAAAACCTAATTCAGAAAGAATTGAAGCAATCCAAAAGTCGTCAATTTGTGTAAGTTTTACAACTGTTTAGGCAGTAAGAAGGTCACTTTCATACCAAGTTCTTAAACACATTAAATAATTTTAATGGTTTTGAACACAAGTTTATCAATTTTATTAGGTACTCATCGAAATCAAATAAGTAAGTAGGTATGTATAATTCGTCAAAAGCAAAGCACTATCGAGTTCTTGGACTATTTAAAAGGTTTCCCTTCAAACCGTATAAATCTAAAAGGCACGGTCTAGTAAACAGCAAAGTCAAAAACAATATAATATCGGGATTAGAAAGTCCAGTAAACATAAGCCGAATAAAAGAGTAGAAGAGAAAACAAGTCCAATAAAGAAGTCGATTTCATATCATTTTTGCTTTGGCACGTTGGTGAGTGCGCACCGGAGGCACGCACACACGGTCAACTACACACACATGGATAAGGCGGCCGGTAACCGAGCGATAGTGATAGTTCATTCAAATACCCAATTTTCAAGTCTCTCCGCTCGCATTTCCACTTTATATCAATTAATCTTCCGGCCCAATTTACATCTATATACAAAGACCTCTGATAAAATAGCCTAGTACATATTAGGTTTCTTTACATTACAGGCAATACTTTTATCCAAACTCGATTATGAAGAAAAAAAAGATGTTTACAAACATCTTAAGAAGGAAGCTGATGCAGAGAACAAAACAAATAGACCGGAAACACGTACAAATAACAAAAAACAAAAGAAAAAGACTGTCATGAGTTTGGAACAATTTAATGACATGGTCAACCCTGAGGATACAAAAAGTAACTTTCTTCAAATTTTATAGTAGTAATTTATGGATTTTTGGTACGGGTTGAGAAATACTACAATACATTTATAATTGTAGTAATTCTCATAGAAAGTTTAGTTGTTTTTGTAAAATTAAAATATGTGCTTCCCTTTTTAATTATTACTTTTAAAATTTTTTCATTACTTTTATTTGCAGTACCAGAAAGAGATCAGTATTAAAATCAAGAAATAAGAAGTTATGTAATATTCTTGGACAGGGAGAGAGTAAGAAATAATTAATTTAAAAAAAGAGCTACATGCAGTAAAATCAAGAAATAAGAAGTTATGTAATATTCTTGGACAGGGAGAGAGTAAGTATTTTATAACGTTCTTTCATTTGCCTTAGCTTTGTATGAAAATGTTAAGTTATTCCATTTTAATTAGGAACCGTATATGATATTGACTAGACACAAACAAGTGTAACAATCATGAAATTATCATATCACCAGTAACATTGGCACATTTAACTAAAAACTTATTATTACCTCAAAAAGTAGTTTTTATTGCTGTAGTAGTGTATCTCAGTCTGATAATACTGTATAATCTGGATAGTTTTGCGATAGATGATACATGCCAGTGTGAATAGGTTTTTATTGAGCTAAATAAATAATAATAATAATATTAATACATGCCGTGTGAATAGGTTTTTATTGAGCTAGCGCGCTTACCATCAACGGCTGCATGGTCACTTACCATCAGGTGGGATGGCAGTCCTGCTGGTCAGTTTTGAATTAAAAAAAATCACATGTTTCAAGCCAATTGTTGGTATTAATTGCAGTGAAAGACAAAGCTGAGGTATTGGTGGAAGTAGAGCGTCTCAGAGCGGTACAGGCCGAACTCACAACCGAACTGGAGTCGCTACACACTGATCTTGAGAAAGAACGTTCCAGAAACACGGACAACAGATCTAGAGATAAGGTATTGTGTAATAAATTTTATATATATTGTAAGGAAATCTGAAATCCATTTCTTGTCTGGTAGATCGTAGAACGAGAGCAAGGGTAAAAAATGCACTGAATTTAATAGAGCTCATTTTCCGCCAGTTGTTTTTACACACTGCGGTCAATTTAGCGAACTGTAGATCAGGCGTACTTCTCATTATCAGGGTTATGAAATTAATTCACTAACGCTGAAATCTGTTGTACAGATTATATATTACATGTAAATACAAGAATAATAAATAAATATTTCCGAACATATTTTTACACAACGTTATCTAGTCCCAAATAAGGCTAAGCTAGTCTTAAGAAAGGCTATGGAGACGAGCTAACTTATAAACATACTTTTCTTTTGTAAATAAATATATTTATTGAAATAATTTTAATTTTTTTATCATAAATAATTGCGGATGTCAGTTAAATGTGAGATGTGTATAATATATATAATCTGTATAACAATTTTCAGCCTTAGTAAAAAAAAAAATAGTGAATTCTGAGCATGTTTATGCCCTCGCTAGGCCCATCTCGTTATGGAGTTGCAGTTATGAAGTAAATAATTATTAAAGGAGGGTAGCATAATTCTCATAATCTTTACCTGTTTTTTACCGACTGGATAAAAATAACGGTCTTCGTGTCTCTTAAACGTGTATTATTTCCATTTTCAGAAATATCCAAATAAAAAGAAAACTATTCGTTTCGATGTATCTTCAGAAGCTCTCGTATCCAAAGAGTCTGCTTGTGGGACAGACTAACTCTTCGCTACATATAAATGATATGGAAATATAATTAGAACACGGATGAAATTGGAATGTTTTAAATTATTATCGTCACAAAAAATGATATGTTCAGTATTACAGCATGATCGTTTCATTTTATAAGAAAAATCAGGAATGACTCCGATTAACACCATAAGTTATTTATGAAAGTTGAGTTGGTCATGAAAATTACTTCTTCATAAATCAAACGGAACGCATTCTGAATCTCATTCCTTGAATATAAGTCGCAAGCGAATAATGCCAATAAGGAAATAAAAATATTTTTATACGACGACGTTTTCATTTATATTTTGATTTAGATAACGTTGAATTAATACGTTGATAATCTTTTTTTTTGTTTCGTGCGTAAGCGAGAGCTTATCAGCTTTATCGGCCATACATATCGTGACATGTGCAACAGATATAGAAGCTTAAAGTTTATCCCTATGTATAATCCATACATACATAATAGACAAATAACCATGCCGATGATCTTTAGCCAGCTTGTAAGGTAGCTAAGGAGCATATATTTATTTTTTTATTATAAAAGTTATGGACAATGGAGTCCATAATTTTATAGAACTGGTTTACTAGACGTTAACTGCAGTTAGACCGTTCCCTTCATCTTTTGTTCTTCATCATTTGATTGGGTGGATTGCACTTGTGTTATTAAAAGGGTCGTCTTCGAGGGTAACGCATATTTGTTATAAAAAATAAGAAGCTGGACTGCTTAAAAATATAAAAAAAACGATAAATAAAAAGAAAAAAAAAAAACAGTTGTTACATTTTTTAAAGTAGTAATGAACAAATTATAATAAGTTGCATTATCGAATACATATATAAACAAATCATAAATTCTTATGCAGAATAGGATTAAAAGTCGTGTCGGGACTCATTATTTTATTTATTAATAAAAGCTTTCCAAGGAGCCCTGCAAAATTGCGGAATTCACATATCTTCGAAATATTTTTTTTATTATTTCGAAAATATGCAGGTTTCCCAACGATGTTTTCCTTCGTGATAATTCGGCACTAAAAATATTAACAATTTCATTGGTGCCGGTACTGGACATCGAATTCAGGTTGCTCGAGTATATTGAATTAAAGTCGAGCGCCCGGACACCGAGCTATTACGGCTCTTCGGACGGTATCAGGGCATATACTTTTATATACCTAGGTATGAAGCCGAAAATTCACGCCGATTGATTTTTTTTATATCAAATTATATTTATTGGATTCAATATAATGTGACAGTTAATACTAACATTGATAAATTATGGCCAACTACCTATATATCCCAGATGACATCCAAATAAATTTTTTTTATAAAGGTTTTCCTGGTTTTTGTTATTTCTATTTCTGAATAAAAATCTCCATAATTATCATTTTTACTGTAGTAGGGCCACAAATGGTCAGATCCGCTCGGGTAAGTAACATGACCTCATAGAAGAAGAAGTGTTACACTTCTGCGTTTCGTCTTGTTTGTGAGGTAGTCAACGTAGTGGTTATATTCTCATTGGAGGTAGTCGGGGCTACTTTATTAAAAAGCGGCACGCGTGTTCAACCCTACGGGTGTTGCAAACATCAATGGGCGGCGGTTTGTTTGGTTTGCCACCTTCTCACATAAAAAATATATCCAAATGAAATATGAGCCGTATTTTTGAAAACTTCATTTGCAGATGTGGATGTAGATATTGCATATGGATAAATAATTTTTTTCGATAAATCAGTTCACTAATAGACACTTTTTATTTGCAATATAAGGGTGAATTTTGTATGTAATGTAGGGAACAGCAGGCAAAATAAAAAAAATATAAAACAATGCATGATTTTATTCCGACCACTAATTAAATACACAATTATAATTATTAAGTAACAATGATACATGTATTGCAATTGTAGGGCGTTAAAGGTAAAAATTAATCATCTTTAAACTAGAGGTTAGTTTAATGTACTTGAAATTAAAATTGTGTATTAATCGATCGACAAAACATTCCCTGACGAATCTTAGAACTGAAACATCAGGAATCACCTTTACACTTAAAATTTCTAAAGTTAGATATCCGATAAATAAAGAATACTACTAGGGTTATAATTATGCTTCGTCTGTTAAAAATAATGAGGACACAAACAACACTGTTATAAATAAAAATGTTCTCTTGACATTAGGCGCTGATTCTCAAATTCATTATTTTTATACATATAAATTAGTCTTATTATAAAATCAAGTATTGGGTTAAATTTTTACGCGACGACACATGAAGATTAAGGAAGAAAAAAAATTGTATGTAGACTAAAACTGGAGCGACGATCCACGTCATCTGAAAGCAGGTGCTCAGCACTCTGACTAGTTGCTTATTTCTAAGAAAACCACAACAAACATTTTACTAAGCGAGCAATCTGCTTATTGTGATCTACAGCAATTCATTTGTATAAAAATATGAATTGTGCAGTGATCATTAGTATTTATCTATAGATAGGCTTACAATGTACTTATAATACAAGTGTCATATTGGCAGTAATCGTGTTTATGGCAACGTGAATTTGAATTAAAAATATTTTTGGTCCGAATTTTTTTTTCATAGTATCTACTTATCGACTTTCACGTCCCGTTAGATTATAGACTCCAAAGGAATACATACACCACATTAATACTGATGTTACAGAATTTTAATAAAAATATTAATATAAGTTAAGACTAAGCGAAGACTATGTTATAACTAGAAGTCACTTATATAATATGGCAGTAAGTGGTAATCGCAGAGCATTATCTCATGTACCATCGAGATTCGCACGTCACCACATAGTGATCTTATTCGAGGCCGTGTAAGTAGTAGTCTATTCGATGGGTTACGTATATCTTCATAAAGATGAACCATACACCATTCGCTGACTCAAATCACTCACACGTGTAAAATTGTTCGCTCTCGACGCTATGCACTTTAATATTCATTCAGTTTAAAGTTCGGTTAATACGTCATTCAATTTCATTCGCGTCCTCCGTAAAGCGATTGTTAACTCGCGTGTCCAGTTCTTTTACAATCGTTTCTTGGGTTTTCGTCACCAGTATATTCACATTAGTTGAACTTTTAGTCGTTCGTTCAATTTAATGTATGTTTACTTATTCGATCAAATTCTTTGACTCCTTTTTATTTATTAATCTCGTTTCATTTAGCAAGCCGGTACATCTGCACATTTAATAATACTTATGGGTCTAATAGCCATCTCGCATGAGGAATCTTGTATGACATTGTTTGTTAACTTGTCAACGCAGTAAACACTCCTTTGTTTCGTGGCCTCCTCGCCCTGAAATAAGAACAAATTTTTGTGATCCACGCTAATTATATCGATATTGCATATTTTGTAATTGATTCGTCTTTTTTACCGATAGAGCAAATAAAAAATAACAGTACAAAAGCCAAGCTCTGCTATTATTATATGGCTATCGCAGCTAAGACCACACCTGAAATGGAGTTTCACTTCTCTCGTAAAAATGAACATTAATCTAGTCAGTGGCGTAAGGAAAAACAGACGTAGGGTTGTTGTTTCATTAATTACTATGTTGTTTATATATAAACTATATACAAATACCTAGTTACCTCAAGCTTGTATGAAGTTAGTTAATTCAATATTCGACAACCTGCTAAAGATTTTTAAGCCGAACCCTGCACTCATGTTACATGTCCATCGAAACCAAGAGCACACCTTGATCTGGTGTGTTTCCATTTAAAAACACATGTTAACTGCGATCGGACAAACAGACGCAGAGTTGTGTTGTAGCGTGTACGGATGTACATACCGGCATGTGGCACGGGGTGGAGCACGGGTTCCAGGCACCGACCCACCAGTGCGTGCGCGCGGGCTGAGGAGGGGGGGGCTCACAGGCCGCGGCGCCACACTGCTGCATCAGCGCCTCGTGCCGCGGCGGCTCGATATGGTAACACTGCGACTGCTCCACCACGCCTGAAACGCGATACTTGTGCCGATGACTTGCATATTTGTTACCGGATTAGTCATGCAATGCTTAAGCTACAAGTTGAGCACGATGAATAGTTGCGTTGCTTTTTAAAAACACTGTTTAAAAGTTTTCGTCCGTCGCTAATTCTAAACGATAAGACTGCAACGCTGGATGTAGTCTCGGTTCTCGAGCGGTACGTGTCTGTACGTCGTTATACCGGTGTTTGTCTCTATGCACAATTTGTTCACGGTGCGACAATGCGAATTAAAATTGTGGCCGAAATGTTTTTCACTGGCAATCGTACAACAACTCGAGAAGCATTTTATTGAGAAATCCTACAAAGAGGTAGGCTGCTCAACTGATCTAAAGAGAGAATATCGACGCTTGAAAGGCAACCCTAACTAAGCGACAAAAATCCGTAAAATGAGTTATATATACCATTCGAATCGCCAGAATTTTTCGCGTCGTTTGATCTGAGTCTCATGGTTCTACGACGAGCTTTTTGTCGCTTAGATATTGAGAGATTTCGGTCAAAATCTACATAATGTGCTTACTAAACGACAAAAAAATATTGATTTTAAGAATATGCAGCACATCGACATTTTGAAAATTAGGAATATGAACTTAGTCGGTTTCTTATATATTGACTTTTTCATTTATTTGTATTTACGTATTTTTACTTGTTATGAAATTTCCCTTTGAAACTACTTAGTAGATCTTACCTACAAAAAGCAATTGTAATTCATGTGGTTACGTATTTTAGCTTGTTATTATATTTTGTGAATGTGTCTTTTGTATAAGTTACCCTGAAATAAAGCGGAAGAAAATTAGAGCTTAGATATTTTTAGTTGATAACGGTTAATATTAATGATGTCGGCTCTATAGTTCTACTTGATTTTCTAAATGACCAAGCATGGCGAGTAGATAAATTTACCCGTACGCAAATTTTATTTTCCCGTCGCTAAGGAACTGCGTAAGTTTCAAAAACTTTGTATAGATATACACGATACGTGAAGTGACACGCCTATACGGGTTCTCAACCAGGCGCCTGCAGTCGCTTAGGGAGGACGTATTTAACATTTTGGCGCAAATTCAATGAAGACATGGTAATCGATCAAATTATGCAAAACTCTCTCAAAACAGATAGTCACTTTATCTGATGAACCAGCCATATTTATCACTTACCTCATATCACGATCTACCGTCTACATCTGCAGGACTAAGTAGAGAATCAATCGTATCAAATCTAATCTAGCATTTTGAACGTTTTCTGGAATTTTTTGTTGTAGTAACGTAGGTATACATTATCCCATAAAACATTTACTTATTTTACGCAGTCTACTTGTGGTTAGGATCAATTTATTTTTGTTCCTAGTATTTATATCATGAACATTATTATGTCTTGAAAATTTATCCTTATTTTTATGGACTTACAAACATTTTCAAAAATGTATTGAGAAGCAACAGTCAATACCTTTATCTCTTTAAACAAGTTTCTTAATGATTCTTTGGGGCCCAGATTGTAAACTGCACGAATAGCTCTCTTTTGTAAGATGAAGATTGTATTACTGTCGGCCGCGTTACTCCAAAGCAGAATGCCATAAGACATTATACTGTGGAAATAACTAAAATATACCAAGCGAGCCGTATGCACATCAGTTAACTGTCTTATTTTTCTGACCGCGAAAGCTGCTGAGCTAAATCTACTCGCCAGTCTATTAATATGGGGGCCCCATTACAGTTTGGCATCAATAGTTATGTCAAGGAATACAGTTGTGTCAATAGGGTCCAACGCTTCCCCATATAAAAGAACATCAGTTTTTACAGTAAATTGTTAGCACTAAACCAATGTACTACAGTGGATAGAGTATTGTTTACATCGTCATAACTTAAAGAACGTCGTTTTACTATCAACAATACTATCTCATGATTATTATTAATTAGATAAGGTAGATCATTTATGTAAATGAGGAAGAGAAAAGGCTCAAGAATAGATCCCTGCGGGACCTTCATATTTACCAGGGCCCCAGGAAATTTCTTGCCATTCACGTCAACTCTCTGTATTCGATGGCTCAAGTACGATTTCAGAAGATTGAGTGCGGCATCTCTTATACCATAGTGGCGTAGTTTCCTGAACAAGGTCTGATGCTGTACACAATCGAAAGCTTTGGTTAAGTCACAGAATATACCTAAGGCATCCTGCGACTCTTCCCAGGCTTCAAAAATATTCATAATAAGCTGAACACCCGCATCCGTTGTTGAGCGACCCCTAGTAAACCCATATTGCTTGTTATGTAATAAATTATGAGAGCTAAAATGCTAACATTTGATTAAACATGATTTTTTCAAAAACTTTACTAAGAGTTGGCAGTACAGAGATAGGTCTAAAATTATTGGGGTCGGAAGTACTACCAGATTTAAACACCGGAATGATTTTACTATGTTTCATAAGGCCAGGAAATTCGCCACGATTGATACAAATATTAAAAATAGTTGCTAGGTAAGGCGATATAGCATCAATAATAGAACTGATCACCTTAACCGAGATCCCCCATAGATCTGCAGAGAACAGGTTGTCACTCCATCTATTGGGTGTCGTCCTATACTGCGATGGCCAGTACGAGGCTGCCACTCGAGAACCTTTCTTCCCCAACGGTTATCAGTTCTACGAGCTATATGGCCGGCCCATCGCCACTTCAGCTCACTAACCTTCTGAGCTTTGTCGGTTACGTTTGTTCTACTGCGGATGTCTTCATTGCAAACTCTATCATGCAGAGAAATACCGAGCATAGCCCGCTCCATAGTTCGCTGAGCGATTTTGAGCTACCTCATACGGCCAGCAGTGAAGGACCACGTATCAGTCCCGTATGTCATCACTGGCAGCACACACTGGTTGAAGACTTTAGTCTTCAAACATTGAGGTATATTCGGCGAGAAGATTTGCCGAAGTTTCCCGAACGCTGCCCATCCGAGTTGGATTCGCCGATTGACCTCTGCGTCGAAGTTGAACTTACCTAGCCGGACTAATTGTCCTAGATATACATATTGGTCAACAAATTCGAGCACAGTGCTCCCAACAATAACATTAGACATGATCTTCGTCTTGTCCATATTCATATTAAGGCCCACCCGTTGAGAGGCACTGTTTAAGGTCATTGAGCATAGTACTAAGGTCCGCCTGCGATTCTGCCATGATGACTATACGTCGGCATATAGAAGATGGGTGATGTATTCGCCATCGATGTTTATACCACGTTCTTTTCAGTCCAGAAGCTTGAAAACATTACTATGTTTAATAGTTTATTCATGATAATTCATTTACCTAAAATTGTTAGTTATAGTTTTTTAGAAAATGAGTCATCTTCATGATAGTGTAATTTATGATTGCGACTGCAATAACAATTGTTCAATTTAAGATGATCTCAGACTAAATGTTATGTTAGGTTAATTAGTTTCCTTATTTAATTTTGTACGTAGCGCATTTGTTTAATTTTTAATAAAGAATTTTATTCCACATAATTGATTTCATTTATTTTTGTGCTTGATTTACCAATACAGTTTTTGATTTAATGTCAATTACGAAGCTAGGTTTGGAGTAATTTTAATAACTAGATAGAATTTCCACAATCACAAAAATCATTAAATAATGGTTAGATAAATTTACTTGATTTATTAATTTAAACTCTGATTATTTTAGATCAATTTTTCTGTATCAAAATTTTAAACTAAGTAAATTTACCTATTTTTACATGTTACAGCATATGCTACAGTGATGACTTATATAATTTTACCTGTTTATGAAATCAGGTAAATTTTATCTACCCGACACGAACTGGTGTTTATAAAAGTGTGAGCTGTCTTATTGTGACAATTTCAATAGCCACAAAAAAATTAATTCTACCAGTGTTATCATCATTTTAATCGAACAATAGGTTGAATTTTTATGATTTTTTAAATTTATATTTGATCTTTAAATCACTCTCCTGTAAAATTTGCTAAGTGTCGCTTAGTTAGGGTTGCCTTTCAAGCGTCGATATCAAAAATATTATTTCACATCCTTAAAAATTGTGTTGCCAAAAGGATTAACTCTCAGAATTGATCAGAATGATCTTCTTAATGATCAGAATGACATTTTAAAAGCCATTTTACAGCTGATTAGTTAACTTGTACGATGATCAGTGTTTCAGAAACCGGGCGTAAGCGAGTAAAGTTTTGACTTACATATATTATAAGGAATGACAGTTTCAACTTTACTTGTTTGACGGTCTAAAAAGGGAGGTCGTGACTTACGGTTGTGGTCGTCGACGCACTCGAAGTGTCTGTGCATGTAGCCGTCGCCGCAGGTGACGGAGCACGCGGACCAATCGGACACGCGGTACGAGAAGCGCCGCCGCAGCCGCTGCCTGTCCACCGTGTACTGGTACGTGACGCCCGGGTTGCGGTGCTTGCCGCCGAAGATACGTTGCTGCGCGGATAACAATATAATTGACGATTATATTGTTACGTTACAGATAGTTACAGATTCGTCCGTAAATAAATACATTTATTGATATATAAACACCCAGACACTGGAAAAAGACAATGTTCATAACAATATTTTTCCAGTAATGGGATCGAATTGTAAGCTACTAATTAGAGACCTTTGAGAATATACGACGCGTACATCGCGTGAACTAAGTTATTCTCGCTGTGCTTACGTTCCAGGTAAAGTGCTGGTGATTGTGTAAAAACAAACTAAAATGATGGGAAAGAATGCGCTAAGAATCTTTTACCTCTGCACCCTATGTAATCCTAAGGATAATTATATTGAAGGATAAATATATTTTAGTAATGGTAGGATAGCTAAGTCAATTGTAGCTATTGCCTAAATTTATTTTTGTTTTTTTTCTCCTTCCGCTTTTCGTGTCAGGAGGCATCTATAAAAGATATCTTGCTTCCGGTGGAAAAGAGATGGTGGGGATCTCATTCGCTAAAAAGGGTTTCAGTGAGTAGTGGCTACACAGTACTTTGCCCTTCTGCACTGAGCATGTGTTTCTAACGTTTGTAGAAGCATAAACCTTTCTAAACTTTTTCACTGTTTTGCGGAATACAAGATCGCTCCGTGTTGTTTGTTACCGCTAGCGGTTCTACTAACGTGGGGGATCAGAACCTAACCCTGATCATCCGTGAATCCAGTATTCCACTTTAAAAGCTTTACAACTTTAACAACACACATGGAATGTATAACAAGCACAAGATGTAATCATGTAGGATGATATGGACTTAATACTTACAAATACTTTTATATCTTCGGCGAGAGGTCCGCTGATTCGCACTTTCTCCCAGTCTCGATCTCTCTCGTAGATCGCCGGGGCTCCCGCCACGAAGTACTCCGATACAGTGGCGTTTCTATGAATAAAGGAACAAGACACGTTCATTGGTATTTTTACTTTGCTTTTGGACCGACTTCAAAAGGGGAAGGTTATACAATTCGGATGTTTAGATTTGCAAAATTCTTATTTTATTCGAAAGGGTTTTATTTCGAAATGGTCCCATATATTTTCTTAATATTTATTTTAAATAAATTTAAATTACATTGACTCACCGAGCTCCTGTAAGATACATTCGTCTGGATTTAGCGCTTCTTATCGAAATGTAATTGCCTGGGCTGACTTTCTCCTGAATTTTCACGTTCCTCGACCCAGCCGGTATAACTGCAACCTGTAATTTGTACTATATTATTTGACTTATAATTTCTTGACGGAAATTAAAAGCTTCTTTAATAGTTTATTATTTTAAAAATGTTTAACACGGTTAGGGCATATAACCATACAAAAGTGGGTTTTGTACTTTGAATTCATAATGGTCGGCAGAAATTATAGCGTGTATTTACTAAATTAAAACATGGAAGGAATTAATTAAATATGAATAACCTTTTTGTCCCATCAACATCTAATCAAATCTAAATACGTTGTTGTCCCTTCACCGATATTATGTTTTTGGGGAAGCCACTTTTTTCGCTTTATAATCTCGCGTTTTTTTCTGTCGGTGTGCGAGCAAGTCGTAAAATTTTGGCGAGTTCGGAAAAAAATATTTTTTCCAAACTCGCCAAAAGAAGTGTAACTTCAAACATACGAACTGACCTCACTAAAGCCTGATTGTCTCGTAGTGTCCTTGTTGTAAATGCCCAGCACCGTTTTGCACGCTGAGCCGTTCCCGCCGCAAACGCCGCACGCATCCTCCTCCAGCTCGGAGTCAACGATCCAGTCGCAGCCGACCTTGTAGCAGACCCCTGGAGGCAGATTATCATCAGATCCCCCGTAGGCATTGAACAGAGACATAGCCGAGTTTTTCCTTAACTCGAGTTTATAAATATCTATTTGTAATGAACATAAGTAAATTAAATTTATAACAGACTAACGCCCGGTTACTGAAACACTGATCACTGTAGTAGTTAACTAATCCTTTAGTTTGGTTTGAAGTTATCTGATCATTAAGAAGATCATTCTTGTCAGAGAGTTTAACCATCCTTTTGGCAACTTAAATGAAAAGCCATTTGGCAGCTGATTAGTTAACTTAAGTAAAATACTGATTTCCGAGACTTTAACATCATACAATTGCTGTCATCCAATTTTTTTTGTAACACATTTCTAACGGCCCCATCGGTTTCGTTAGGTTCCATCTAAGTTCGTAAACATGCTCGAAAAAAGAAAACTCTAGCAAAAGCGCGTTGAAAGTGTTCAATTCAATAATTTCTTGTATTCAAATTGTTTTGTAAGGAATTTTTTTGGAAAGGTATAGATTTGAATAACTAAAATTATCACCAGAATTATATAGGATTATCAAGACCTACTTTTTAGCTCATTTAGAGTGCATGTACATCTCATTACCTGATATACACATGTCTCTGGCGCCAAGATTCTGTTTGCAAGGAGTGCCGTCAGCAACGAATCCGCCCAGCATCTCCACATCGTTACGGTTGCGCGGCACGCACTGCAGTTCGCAAGGTTTGTCTATGGAATAGGATAGAACAAATATTAGTTTCAAATTAATATAGATATTCATCAGACAAAACACCTAATATCGATTGTCATGTTATAAAGCACTATCTGAAAATATAATGCACTGAATGAAATATTTATTTTCAAAAATATTACAAAATCTCTAAGAATGGTTGAAAAAAGCTATTTGCGTTTAGAGTTCCAAAATCGCTAGACAACCGAGTCAAGAGGCAGCTTCAAAAATGGATACAACTCGAACAATGTTGGATTAACATATTGTAACTGAATGGACACAGACGTTAGGAGTACAAGTGATTAACCTTGATCGAAATAGGGTATCCATTCCGTGATGGTGTCGTTGTTGTACGTCATATTGTTGTACTTGGCGCACTGCACCTCCCTGAATGTCGGCTCGTTGATAGGGCACGGATCCGTGTTGCACACTTTGTACCTGCGGTGTGATGAGAAAGGACGCCGTTATCTATGACTTTATCAAACGAAGCTATCTCGGTTTTTATTACCAAAGTCCACATCAGGATATCGCTTGGAAATGAAAACGTTTGAAATTATAATAACGGCCACAGATACACAAAAATGCGTATTCGTATTAGTATAGTCGTATTAGTTATATTATATTTTATTATAAATATACGGTTTGTTTCTACGTTTCGTTTTTTTTATATTCAAGCCAATAACAAGTTACCAAAATCTAGTTGACGGTTGCGAAAGTTTGTTGGTTGGAAAACCGTACTATTATTTCAATGCCAAACATCAAGTTAAATAAATTAGGTAAGACAAGCCTATTAATGCATCATGTTGCATCTGCAGCAAAGATGTTTGATCATTGATGAAACAATGCCAAATATTTCTGCGATCATTCCGGCTAATGATCCTGAAATCGTTCTCGAATAGGAATAATTTTTATAAAGTTTTAAAATGGCGCCTTATGTGCATTTTCAAGTGTGACTTACAGAGATATGAGCGACATTTGAATTTGTCCGATTTTATCTCATTTGCGTCATATACTCTTATGTGAGATGGATTCAAGTGCGTGTGTAATTCATTTTATACGAAACCTCATAGTAACAAAGTGAAAAAGAGCGCAAGCCTGCATGATTTAAGACGCAATGTGCATGTGGTATTTACATATCAAAATGTTATCTAGACACCGTCAGCGAGATGCCTACTTTGGCATTTGCAGACGTATAGACATGTCTGATACTTTGGTAGCATGCACGCTTACCTAAATACTTATGTTCAAAAATATATGACAATCTAATTTAAATTTGGTTTATAACATACCATTTAATCTGTATTTTCACTATTTTATCTATCACTACCACTTATTTACACGGGCACCAAAACCTGATTCTGATGACATATTAGTTGACATAATGCCAAGAGTTGGCCATCGCCCATGGATATCCAGAAAATCGTGTAGCGACAATTATGTTGTCAAGATTTAGAGATCATCTCACCAGACGCAAACTAAAACTACATAATCTAGTTTACAGCTGGCTCCAGTGAGGCCGTCACTTCCCCGGACGAGCCCTTTCTTTAACCAACAGGCGCTGTCGTGTGGCTGATAGGGAAAGGAATTGTAGTGTGAAAAGTTGGCAAAGGAACAAGCGGTTCGCCTGATGTAGTGATTACCGCCGCCCATGGGCACCTACAACTCCTTAGGAATATTCTCCTCCAATATTCAAAAAAGTGTTTTTCAACAATTAAAAAGGAAACGCGAAAAGTACGACACGTCCACTTCACGTTGGTGTTCTGTGAGTCGGTGAAAATATTCCGGACAAGCCTGCCCACTCGTGCCACAGCAGAAGCTACTGCGTGACTCTAGCACAGTTAAGAGACAATCCTCCCTACTCAGTAGAACATACAGATGACCATATACGCGCCTTATTCAACACGGTGGGCCGTATCAAGTCCGTGGAATCTGATGGTTCCACGAGAGTTCTGCTTTAAATAAATTAAATACAAATAAATCTGTAGGGGAGTATGCTCTGAACGGAGGAGGCTTATGCTAAGGCACAATAAAAATAATGGTACAGAATAGCCCAATTGTCAAAAGGTCGTCAACGCATCTGGAACCCTGTAGCAGATGTACATGGGCGGCGGTGTTCACTTGGCAACCTAAACACATAAAAAAAGGCGCCTCTTACCGACTCCTGTCGCCGATGCAGTAATTGCCGTTGTTCAGGGGCTCGGGCTGGTTGCACTCGCGCGACTGCGTGGACACCCCGGCGCCGCACGTGCGAGAGCACTCGCTCCACTCGCTCCACGGGCCCCAGCCGCCGTCCCGAGGCACCGGCGACGGGCTGCGCGCCACGCACGTCTGGTTCTGACACCACTGTGAAAAGACCCTCTCTCAACGTCCACACGAATAAAGACGCGTTCTATTTAGCTCAAGATTCGCTGTACAGTTGTAGCTGAGAGTGGTGTTGCATCACTTATTCATAAATTATGAACATTAATATCATCATCATCTTTCGAGTTCACTCCCGAACATAATCCTCCATCTCGAAGCACTATCTCGAGCCACTTGCATCCATCGATTTCCCGTACACTTGCACACGTCCTCAATATCTCTAGTTTGCGTCCTACACTTCGATGACTGCAACTCGAGAACCTTTCTTCTATGCGCTTATATCCATCGCATATATAGCTCCAAGTATCGATATCACTGAATTAAACCTAATAAAGTAATAAAGCTCAAAGCACGACTCGATTATTCGACGTTCCAAGGCTTGAAGTTCTCCTGTTGTACTTGCGATCGGAAATTTCAACCATTTCAATCGTTTATTTTCCATCTAAGTGTACAATTTAAATTAAACACAGCATTCAGCGCGTGGAATATTGGAAACGGGTATTTCGAAATTTATCTCATAGATATATTGGGCCTTAATGTATTACCATGTCGACGCCGCAGGTCGTCCCAGGTGCGGCGGGGCGCAACATAGTTTTGCAAGTGTTGTTGACCAAGCACCACAGATGCTCGCACAGTTCAGTCGGTTTCGCACACACCACTGCCTCGGCGCCGAATTGCAGGTGGCATTGCGTGGCGGCGTCAAATGTAACACCTACGTGATAAACAGAAAGTTCACATCCAAGACATTTACTATGGATTAAGTTAAATTAGCTTTATGTAGTTTATTTTTAAGTAAACTTCACAGAGGATACGCAAGTTAAAGGCGTAACTGACCTTAGTCATCCTCATCTCGATGAAGATCAGAGATCAGATGACACAAATCACTAAGGTTTTGCGTTACAACAGATATGAGACGTGTCGCTTAAGGATTAACAAGTAAATCTTCACTTTTACAGTTGTGCTAATGTGTCAATACATTCATTTCAAGACGTCAAAAGATCTCTACTAATGCACTACTTTTTTAAGTGAGAAGGTGGCAAACGAGCTGCGATTTACTTTTTTTATGTGTTATGAATTACCCTATATTAAGTGTCAAGCGTCGTCCCCATTGATATTTGCAACACTCATATGGCTGCAGATGCGGTGCCACCTTTCAATAAATTGGGCTCTGGCTACCTCACACCAGACGAAACGCATAAGAATATCACTTTAACTTCACGCCGGTGTTTTGTGAGGTAGGGTAGTGCAACAGCGAAGGCTGTTGCATGGCCCTACCAGAACCAAGATATGCTAAATCATTTAAATTGCTTTTTCAACATGGTTTTAACGCGTCATTTTCTTAAGTTAATCCTTTTGAACTACTGTTGGGAGTTACTAAATCAAATGCCATTCTTGCATTTGATTTATGCGTACGAAATTATGAGTTTAAAATATGAAATGTTACTCACCAGCCGGAACTTCGGGATACACGTACTCTCGTTGCGATGGTGTGTCGCTAAGGCACTCACCTAAGCCAGCACTGGAAGTTAAATGAATCTTTTAAATTCAGAACAGACATCTGTGTTTAGTATTGTAACATCCAAATCGTATTTTCATTCTATAAAAGACTACTTGTTCATGATCTCACAAATTTCTGTCTTCTGTAATTAAGTATAAATTTGGCATATTACTCAACAACATAACGAAAACTTATACCCATTTTAATAAATAAAATAAAATCAGTTATAGCGAAATACGATAAACATATTGTTAAAAATTGTTTTCCACGATTTTGAACGTATTTATTTATAACTATACGTTTTTGGTGCTTACGTAAAAAATTACTATTTTTTAATAATACTATTTTACTTGACCAAATCGGATTTTAATTCGATGAAAATTCTCAGAGACTAAAACTTTTAAGGTTACGGGGCAGATTGACATGCTAGGTGCGTCGGCTTTTTAACAATTTGGTCTGATATTTTCAAAATGCGTTTGACTTGAAGTTTTGAAGATTGTTGGTTTTAATAGTTTCGCGAAACTATTAAACTTGAATTAATCGGTTTTTATTATTTACCGATTAATTCAACCTTGAATTAATCGGTTTTTATTATTTTATAATTATTTGCGAGCATTTCGAGTTTCTCATACCTGTTGATTGATTTAAGAGGTTTTTAATTTTTGTGATAGCACCAACTTTTTTCATCTTCGGTGCAGAACGTCGGCTATGTGTTATTTCACTTCAGTTTAAATAAATCTTTTTATTTGCCCAAATAAACAGAGCCCAGGAAATATTGGGAAACAATCTTACACACTTTTGTAAACACCTGAACCTTGTCTTATCATATCATAATTGACCAATACTCATAACAATAAAATCCACAAAATATAGTTTCATCGAACAAGGATTTATAATACTTTTAATTATGGTATCATCATTAATCTCAACGGTAATAAAGTCAATTTACTTTAGATGAGATTTTATAATTATACAAAAAAAATGTTTTCAAATATACGAGAATTGTTGCCTACGCATATTCAATATTGATTTATTACAGCGGTTTAGTTATGCAAAGTTGAAGCTTTTGCTATGTTAATTTTAATGCGAAACTTTGTATATTAGGCGGCTTACAAAGTAAGGTTATTTATTATTACAATGATATTTTTAGGATTATTCCGCAACAAAATCCTACATTACAGATATTGGCTGTCCCATTAGGAAATAGTGATAAAGTATTGGTGATGTAATAAGCAATCGGAGGGTAATTTAATTCGACATTTCGAATCATTTACAGCCTTGGAAGTATTCTATAAGAAAAGCGTAATCCACTTAACTTGAGAATTATAATTCATAACATAATAACTCTGACAAACTTTGCGGCGATAAACAAATACGCCTTTGTTATTTCCCAATCGATAACTTATTACGATAGTTGACCTGCTGGTCGACTCAGCAAACATTTGTGAGTTTGGTCGGCCAATACTCTGTATTTTACATTCCCTTACTTGATTTAGGAATTTAGTACAGTTTTAGTTTTAGAGCGACTTGTGTATATAATTACAACAGTCATTTCTAGATAAAAGATATCGGCCTACTTCAACACTCGGTCAGCATGACAATTCGTTTTACCTGTATCTTTGTATCGCATCATATGCCTAGTATATTATAATAGTAGATATAATAATTATTCATAACAATGATTGTTAATGGGTTGATCACAAGTTATATTCGTAAATGTCACATGATTAATTCTATAGAATTAATATTGTATGTCGTAGTTTTACAATCTAAGGAAAGCAATTCAATATCTATATAGTTTGCGCTAAATACATAAAATGGCATTTGTACATAATATAATGACCTGAGAATATGGTACTTAACTGGTACAAATTGTCATAACAATGTACACACTGAAACATTGCACTTATAATGTCGACGATAACAACAACTCATTCATTGAAAGTTCGAATTCATAAATCAAAAAAACCAATGCAATGCACAGAGCATAAAGAGATAATATTAACGTCTCCGCTATTATAAACAAACTCGTCAACAGTGTATGCAAATAGTTGTATATGCTTCACGTTTGAATGAACTGATACACTCACTCGAGGAAGTTGGTGACGTCACGCTTGCTGCATCGCGACCAAGCGACTTGGACGGTGTCTGCTTCGAAGATGGGCGTCATGATGTGCAGCGTGGAACCCTCGCGCCGGTGGCAGCCGATCTTCTCCGTATCGTGATACAAACCAAAGCTGGTGGTGTCAAAATATACTGTTAAGTATTTCCGCACGTTTTCTTCTTTAGAGTGCATACATCTGTCTCTCTCTAACACTTGTCTCGTCTCTCTAAGACTGTTTAATTTTAACATTAATTTGAAATATTGGCGATAAAGATGCAAATTTGCGAAAAAGATTAGAATATTCACTGATTTGAAGCTTAAGTAGGTAGATAAGACAAGAGTTTAAAATTGGAATGCTTAATTTTTAAATAAATAAATATAATGTTGATCAATAATTAATTCATGAAATGCAATGATCTTGTTATCTGTTGGGGTGTTTTTATATAAAGTATTCATTAATAATAAGTTCGGAACAAATGAATGCAATAAAAGTTATCTTAACGACTAATTTAATTGCTGCATTCATTCGTTATTATTCGAAACTATATAAATATTTCTATTATTAAAGTTTTCAATTATACTCGAAGCAGTGCGTCACAGGTCGGTTCTCATATAATAACAACTTTCTCAATCTGTACATTATAATATAGTTATCGGCTATACAGTATACTACTATCTGAGCAAACGATGCTCGCAATTGCAGGTGTATGCACTAAGTATTGGGTACCACTCTACACGCGAACTTTCTTCCTTTGCATTGGGTAGGATTGTCATGCGTTTTCCGTAGTCTCCGGTATATTTTACCTCTCAGCCAGGGTTGGATTTTTTACTATAATTATAGTATTTGTACCATAATTTTATGTTCGTACTATATACTATCCATATCTAAGGTAAGTACGGAAAATACTATTATTTCGTTAATTTACATAAATGAGCAATATAAATGCCAAGCGAACATAAAATTTTCAGTTCATTGGGTTGTAATAACGTTGTGAAGTTTTCAAACGATACAAAGTGGATATTACAACGTGTCAAATTCATTGTCAATTATTAGCACGGACGGATTATAAATAATTTTAATCAATGAACTATTTACGGGGACTTCCCGTTAAATATACTTTTTCTTTCGATACTTCGCATGTTGAAGAGTAACTTTGCATATTGCACTGTGAGGTAGGTAATAGAGTTCATAGATGTCCAACAGTACGACTAATTCCAATACTGAGATAAGAAATGAACATAATCCAAAGATGCCATTTTATTGTCTTGTTACGCTATCAAAGATGGTAACAAAAGTGGGAATTATACCGATTTTATTCCTACTGAAGATATGTTAATAAGATTAAATTCTAAGGATGTAAGGAAACTAATTATTAATTGAAGAATTGATAAACTTGGGACAGGAGTAAATTAATGACTGTTAAAATCATAATTATAAAGTGTACTACTTATATTTTTTTTACAAATCCTATCCTTTTAAATTTTTTGTATTATGAATGAAAAAGATAGTACAAATCCAACTCTGCTCTCAGCACACGCTCAGTACGCTGCCATATTCAAAATAGACTCGGAGCGTGTCAAACGCCTTACTTATAATAATGTAATAGTCATGGACTAACTTTTAATATGATTCTATTAGTCAGACAAAAAAATATATTTTTTTATTATAATGACTAGACCAGACTAGACAAAGGATTTTTTCTATGCCGGGACTGTGAAGGTGTAATGTATACGTAACATTGGAAATTTATAAATCAATAAGATCCGTGTAGTACCTAGGTTTATTCTAAAATTATATTTAAAATAGCGACCAAGTCATATATTATTCTTAATATACTCGTTAAGTCTATATAAATAATCTACTCTTGCATTTTATTTTAAGAAAGAAAATAAAACTTTTGTGGGCCGATATCGCGGCGTCAATGCACCGAGTGCATTGTACTCAACGAATGATGCATTCATATGTCTACGAGCGAAAGAAGGTCATTGCCTGCATAGTGTTGTTTGCACAACTTACGTAACATGTATTTATTTAGGATCGTAAGACTCTTCTAATGTGCTTGCGTTAGCAATAACCCTTTTTATTTAGAAACCGATGTTACCAACACGCTATTCCTCATCGCCTTGCTGTCCGATAAGCTTTGCTAACATAATCTGTGATGAAATATTAATGCATCTTGTATTTTACCATGGTATAACGTTTAGAGAAACAAACTATATTTTCATAGGCTGGTATCTCGAAAGCAACGTCCTTGCGATAATCTCAGGCCGGAGCATGACTCAGTGTTCGCAGTTGAAGTGCTAGGCAACCGCTCCCGAATAAAACTCAATACAAAATAACCGTGTACACGCCTATACAGTGATAGACTTGATCGTATTGCGCAATCGCGCTTTTAATGTGCCGAATACGGTACAAACGATACCTCGCTTTTATTTAAACCAATAATAATATAATATTAACTATAATATTGTGCGATTTTACTAAATATTAAAAATATTTTTTGTCTTTAACAATTAATGGTTGCATTAGTTGTTAAAGACCAAAAAATATTTTTAAAGTATTTGGTAGAAAGGGCAGGTATAAAACCAAAGATTCCCCATCCAAATATATACAATTGTGAGGCCCGAGGTTGTGTGGATTAAACAATTCTGTTGCAACGTTTTAATAACCCATTTTATGTGACTCCGCGTCGTAATTGTGCCGTACGCACGTCGTGTTACGTAGTACTGGGAAGCAACGTAGGGTTGTCAACGTTGCAAGTTTAATCCTGTTAAACTTATATCTTCTAAGAGAATCTACAATTACCATCTGGGCACCAAACCAATTTAACGACATTGTTATACGCGATTTTAAAACTACCTAAATTTAATATTACCGTAAATGTAAGTATCGACCTAACTTTTAGTAATTACTATGATTTACGTTTTCTGAAAAAGAAAACATTTAAAATACTATCATTATCATGAGTCTTTTACATAAATTTAATTTCAATGAAATGAAAATTCAAAATGTTATGCTTGTAAAGGCTATAAATTTTGTCGCCATCACACTAATAACAAATAATTATGAGTACTTGAAGGAAAATACAAGGAATTAGTAATGCAAATATTTATTATACTCAATCACGTGGGTAGATTGAGGTGGCAGTTGATTATGGGGTGATGAAACTATGTCTACAGATTTCCGCCTCTATTTTAGATTATAGTGAATTAACTCAATATATTTGTATACAAAAATACGCTTCGCCTATATGCTATCGTCTAGCACCATCTGGTATAAAAATGTAATGAATTCGTACTAAAAGTAATTCTTGCTGATTAAAATGGACTTGTTTATTGTAGTCTTTTCGGTTGAGTTTACGTAATGATCGACCATATATCAACATTTTTTAGTTGTGGCCTTACCTAGGCAACTACATAAAATCTAATACAATTGTAATGTGCAATTTCATTGCATCATAGAATGTGTCAACATTGAATAAAATGTTTGCATTTACGATATAACCGGTTTAATTTTCGGCCATAACATTAAACGTAATTTCAGTTACGTATACCATCTATTAGATTTTAATTGGATAGATCAATACCAGAATTTTAATGTTGGTAATTTATTTATAATGATATACAAATATTATTAGACATATTTCATTAATATTTCAGTAAATGTTTGGCTTAAAATGAGTGAAATGTAATGGGTTGTAATAATATAAAGGATTTTGATTATTCATTTCCCCAGATCAAAATGATAGCAGCGATGTGATAACTGTTACCGCGTGCAACTTAAACACCGTAATCAATATTTCATGCTCCCTCAAGCTTTTTCATAGCTTAAGCTTGTAGTTAAAACTATAAAATAAAACGTTTCTTGTTATAGGTATCTGTGAAATGAAGACCGCCTGTGTGTATGCTTTTGTGTGTTATTAAATTAATAGGCCTGTTATCTGTGTTATAAATCTGCATACAGGGCATATACAGGGTGCGACTTACTTGTGGCCAAGCTCATGCGTGATGGTATGGGCCAGCATGATGCCATTGTCCTCGTTGACGGAGCAGCTGCGGTCCGGCTTGCACATCCCTGCCACGTGTGCCACGCCCAGCGTGCTGCAACAAATTACACATTCCGTATCACACGACCGACATCTCATTCGCGGACATGCCAATTTGAAAAATTACAATACACGCCTAATGAAATAACAGCCTGCGAAGTTGTAAATATATTTAAATTTGAATATTAGGCCGTCGCGTCGATGCCTTTCACCGTTTTTGTCGAACACTCGCCTCGTGATGCGAGATTTTTAGATTTTTGTCGTTTTAAATTATAAATAAAAAATTGGGAAGGTGTTATTACTGATACTTTTACTTTTGCTTTAACTGATATTTTTGCTTTCGGCCCGTAGTCTATTAAAGTTTCATTGAACGTAAAACTCGTGGATAGGCCAGTAACTACGAGCTTTATATGCCTTCCGCGTTGAATAGGACTGGACATGTGCTCATGCGTGCGTTATCTATGGAGAGGAATGCCACCTACGAGGTTTGGTACGGACCGTGACCCCGATGACAGTAGACTGTATTAATCGGTGGCTGAAGGTCTGTGTCTGGTTATAATGTGTGCAAGATATAGTGTTGTCTAGCGGGACCCCCGGTGAGTATGACGTACCCATGTCTCCATCCTCGATCAAGATGTTGTTTCTGGATAATTCGTTTTAACGGCGTAAACTTTCGACATTCGCTACTTTGGTATTGTATTAGCTTATTATGAGTACCTACAGCGTGCATCTTTTGAAGCCTATTCCCACGAAGCTGAAATACAATAACTTAATTAAATCATTTCAAGCATTTCCAGCTTATTTCCTTTAAAAAACAACAGGATTTTATGAATAACCACGGGCACAAAGTACACTCCGATTTGAAACAACTTTCTGTGGGTTACGTGGTAGATATATTTTGGTCCCTTATTTTGAAGGCACAATATAGCACCCAATAACAGTTGGCGATGGTACCGCCTCAACTATTGCGACATCCGTGCACTCTAACGAATTTAGAATGTATTATAGCGTGCGTTACATTTCCTTATCAATAAACAAGTGAGGCGTAGGCAAACAAGACGTTCTTTATCAATATTTATCGACTTTGGTTTACTTTTACCGGTGATAAGTCTACGTTAACCCAATAAGTGTCTTATCTGCTAAACGTCATTTCTTTGGTAGACGTATGTATTGTACAAATTTATCGCTGCGTCCGAAATTTTCTCCAGAACAGTGTTCATCATAATTTTGTTCATTTAAAAGGTCTGCATTGATGCTTTATGAAATGATAATACCATCAGTAAATGAGAATTAAAATAATATAACTTTTCTTCAATTTACGTAAAATGTAATTGTTTAGGATTGTACGACTCATCTAAAGTGCTTGCTTTAGGAATAAAAATTTCATTATGTATTACTTGCTATTTTTTATTATAAACTTTTTATTTAGAAATAGGTGTTACCAACACGCTATTCCTCATCGCTTTGTATTCCGATAAGCTTTGCTAACATAATCTATGATGAAATATTAGTATCGTCGTATATAGCTACGGTATAACGTTTAGAGAAACAAACTATATTTTTGCATATGCTCGTAATTCAATGTTTCTTCGAGATCCCATTTCGAAACATCAGACCAAAAAGATTCAACAGATTTCTGAGTGACAATTGGACAAAACGAAATACTAAGAAATCTTTATCTCTTTTAGTCTTTAGCTGTGGACCAGAGAGACAGTTCCAGTAGAAAGGAGCACGGAGGAGCACGGTTGTTAATCTACGCTGCGATGACTGTGGGATAGTAATGTGCAGTAAATTGTATCGTCTGGAATAGAAACTCGTCGGCTGCAGTCTGGTTTCTGTCGCCTTTGACCACATACCAAAGCCCTAAAGAACTTGTAGAACGCAACGCACAATAAATACACTGGAACGGTCGCCCGGCATTGCACTACGCGTAACGCTTATTTGGATTTCCGACTTTGAAAATCACCTATCGAATGGACAATTAGACAATCGAGATGATGATTATTAATTTAACAAAATGTTTATATAATTTTTATTACACGTGTAGTAGATGCAAATGTATAATAAAATATATTATTGTAAGAACTCCACTTGCATTTTAGGCTGTTAAGACTAATGATTATATTCAAATAACATTTTGTAAATATTTATGCCTACTTTATTTTCGAAGTATTGTAAACTTATATTTGAGCCCAAAAATTTTTGAATTCTTATTAAAATAACAACTTTAAAACTAGGAACAAGAATTCAAAAACATTTAACATTAAACATCACATCTGCTTTGTTTATTGCAGCTATTTTTTCTGTGTTTTTTGTTATGCACCGATATACATATATATACAGTTATTACATTCGGATCATTTTTTTAATCAATATAATCATTTATCGTGTGTGTAAGAAATGGGGGTGCGATTACATGAGGTCAACTGACATTCGTTTTTCACGTGCGAGCGAAACGATTGCTCTAGGTTAAGGTAGAGTTAGAGGAACCGCAGTGGGTGTGGTGGCTCGCAATAATTAGATATCGTCCGTAGTGAGTAGAAAAGACCGCGCGGGCGGCGCAGACGCGGTGCGGACGGGAATAGGTGGCTAATAATATACGCGCGCCGCTGACTCACGACCACGCGGAAGCCGGCGAAAAGCTCTATAAATTCCCACCAATAAATCCTCCACACTCTCATACAATCGATACTAGGGCGAGCCCATTCCACAGCCCTTCCCGTACAAGGAATTGCGGTACGTGTTCGATAAAACCACGAATGCATAGCATTCTATCATGAAAATTACGCTGGGTTTTAATATATTCGTATTAAGAGCAAAGGCTTTCTAGAAATGTTTTATGTTTTGCTCTAATATGCACACTAATGACCAGTGACGCGTTGATGTCTTTTCTTTGGAAGGGTATCTATAACTAAACATCGGATGGTAATTAATCTATCAACACTATATACGTAGACTATTTTTAAATTAACTAATAACTATTAAGTTCCGAAGTGTTGATTTAATTTATATATCGGAAAAACACGTTATTCCTAAAAAACTTACGTCTGCCGGCATTTACTTATTTTTGTACGAAAATAAAATTTCTTTTCTTAATTATATAAATCTAAAAGCTTCTTGTGGATAGAAAACTAATAGTCTGTTACGAATACAACCTAACAGTAATCAAGAACCAAATTTAAGAAACTCGCGCTTTTCGCGGGCGAAACCTTCGTCTATTCCGACAAACGATTAACTATTCGCCTTCAAAGTCCCACCGATCGCCTCTTTAACTGATTTCGCAAACATAGAATCGACGTTAACCCCGAACAGATCGTAGCGAAAAACGCCACCTCTCACTGACCCGAGCTCGCCAGGACAGAGAAAAAGGTAGTACAATTTATTTGTACTTTCGACTCAAGAATGTCATTGAATACTAACATTTAAAACTTTAGAAACAGGGTCGCGTTCGTATCTGGCCAACTCCATAATCTAAAAAAACTTTTTTAAGTGAAACTCTCCTAGTAAAATGGCAAATTTTTTACGCTTCACGTATTTAGAGCGTATTGAACTTCTTCAGATGTGTTTACATCAAAAGAAATTTCAAGTAGTGCAAAAGAAATTTATCCTCATTGCAACCGGTTCAAGATGCTTTCAAAGAAACTTCGCCCTGCTAAGCGATTGCAGACTCCCGACGTAACGCGATCATTTTGTAAAAATAATAAAACGGTTCTTCGGAAAAGTCGAAGCTCATCCCAATACTCTGGTAGTTAACGCAGAAAATTATCAATCTTACCTTAATGCGCCTCGATGAGGACGTTATGCCTTCCGCATAACGTCCTCATCGAGTCGAGGAAGTATTAAGGACAAACCGCAACCACTCAAGGCTATCACATAACCAAATTGTTCGTCCTCATCTACGAGCACGCCGAAACCAACACAACGCGTACTTAAGGTACACTCGTGTTTAGGGGCGATTGTTACCGTTTCAATGAACGATGAATACAGTCCACGTCCACGAATATGCACGAATGGCCTAAATAACGATAAATTTAACGACTGATAAAGATTATACACGAACCATTAACGCACTGTTGATAACTCGCTGTACATTTAATAAACTAACAGAGCATTGCGCAATTTGATCCAAATGCAACGAGTACGTCATCGTTTAAAGATTTTTCACCGTGGAAATCCAATTAATCGAGACAACACGAGAAGCTTTTAGCGGCGACATTGAAAATTCGATTAGTTTAAGTACATTGTAATGGCTGTCGGCTGTTGCGTCGCGCCGGCGAGCGTTAAAACATTATTATCGCGGCCGCTTCCACGGGGGTCCAGTGTAACCGGAATCGATATTAGTTTCGAAAACGGCGTTATGAAACGCGTACGGGCGTCGGCTAACTTCCAAGTGTTACCTCGGCTTTAATTGACTCGCGAACAGGTTGTCGCGTCGCACGCAACCGCTTTAACATCTCCAACGTTTCGGTGTCGCCTTTTGTCCTGATAGGCATCGTTAAGAATTAAGAGGGAAGAGACTTTATGAATGAAAACACTTATGTTTAACACTAAAAAAGGAACGTTTAAACGCTCACGCATTAACATTTACGGTGTACTTAAGGTGCGTTAATATTTTCAGCGATATTTCTTTTTTGTGAATGTATGCTAATGTTTGGCCTTCATTAATTCGTACTTTAATTCGACGCAAAAAAAGAAAGAAACTAAATTGTATAAACACGGTTCGCGAGGCAACACGATTCTCGGCGGCCAAAATGAATAACTTTTTATGCAAACGCGAATTGCGAATTGCTCCAACGCCGCTAGTGTAATTTGGCGAGGGAATTATTTATTTATCCACATTATTACACGCGAGCCTTGTGATAACGTGTTGTCATAAATCGAACGAACACCTCGTAAGATGTCAAAACATAACGTTTCGCACAATACGCTCTATAAATACGTAACGCGATCGTAAAATAAAAAAAATAAAAAACAGAAAAAGTTGCATTGCAATTGCTCGAGTTGTGTAAGATTTGAGCGGCGTCGCGAAGGTGTGATAACCGGCGCAGAGGCGCGACACGAGACCGCGTGGCGGCGGCTTACGTTCGCACCTGCGGATTCCGATCGATCGCCTTCTGAGCATGATCCACGAAATCGGAGTCACATTTGATTTAAACACTCGCGCTTTGGGATGTTTGAAGCGACCCTTGGTACCAGTGGTTCGTTGATGTATTGACGAATCACAAATACATCAAACTTTAAAGTAGATAAGATAATAAAAATAATTATTCATTTTTCATATCTATATCCGGTGGCTGAGTAGACAAGTGATTCGACTTTTCATAACCTTGAGACGTACAGTTTCCATCATAAATATGTTAAGCATAAATTTTTTAATCCATATGAAAGTTACACATTGCGTTCGGAGCGGGCTGTATTTCAGTTTTTGCAAGAACTGTGTCCGATGAAGCTTTATATGGGTCCATAGAGTATCATAATCCAATAAAGGAGATATTGAAGATCGATTGCTTGGAAACTAACAATAGGTCGTTATTTCTCTTTCTGGGTACCACACAGCGCTCGCCTTTATAGTCATCAAAAGTAAGAACAACGAAGTTGGCTTCGGCGGTTGAAAGTATTAAGCTTTTTGATGCATTATGTATCGATGCACCGCGGCCCGCCCTGATCGGACGGCACCGTTACAGGCTCATTGTCTTTTGATTGCCGACTTCCCAGAACATTCGACTACTCGTTTGTACCGTTTACCGAACGCATCGGGCTTCCTTATTGCATTCATTATACGTTTTTTTTTGGTGAAATACGTGCTCCGTATAAAAATTAATGGCACTAGTATAATGGTTGACAACTTTGGACTGTTAAGAAATCTGTTCTTTGGTGATTAAATCTAAAAAAAATATTATCGTCGTTATATTTACAGTTTTATGCAAACATTTTCAAATTATTACGAAAATAGTTCATAATAGATCGAGCCGAGTTCTTAATTAGTACACAACGTCCAAATATGTATGTGCGATGGGTTGGGCAAGAACCAGTTGGCCAAAACCAAGAGTCGCACTTATAGTTATGTAATGCCGTGTTATAGGCTTTTGTTAAAGTAATGAATGCCCAATTTGTACACACCCAACATCCTTGGCCTTAATGTCGGCGCTTTTGATGCGATCGCGAAGTTCGGCCGCATCGCCGTTAGCGGCTACGCATTAACAAAACTCAACAATAATAAGACGAGAGATCCTGTATGTTTACAATCGTGTACTTACTTTATTAAAGCCATTGAATAGGCTACCGAGAATTTTTAATCTCAACGCGAATCCCGCGATGAACTGTACTGCGCTGCACAATGTAAGGCGCATGGGGCGTTCGAATAATATATCATATTACATTGTGTCGCCACAGTACCAATTTGAGATAATTCGTGGTGGAGCTCGATCATGCGTAGACGAGATTTATTGTGTTATCGATAAAGATTATCTTTCGAGAACTTCTAAAACAAGATACGTTTTCGAGTGTCTGTCCAATCTTATCGTTTTTTTGTACCATATTCACACTTACCTACACAATTTTATTTTCTATAGGTGGTAATCTATGATTTCGCGGCGTCGATATTGTATTTTACATTGGGTTATGAAATAATAAAAGTAATGAGGGCAACCTCTTCACTGATTTAAGTTACCGCTTCCATCGTTTTTTAGGGAAAAAGTAGTAGTCATTTGATATAGTCTATTATTTCCACAGTAACACAAAACATACTCTACTTCATCTAAAAATAGTTTTCTGTTAAGTGATGCAGACTACCAAGTTTTTGTAATTATTTTAACCTGAAAATTTTGTTTGTGAACATATTTCTTTCACTGTAATTACGACTTTGTTTTTTCTCAGCTGTATTTTAGATTTTAACGACTCGCTTATAAAAATTAATGAAACAAGGAACAACGGCAGTAAGAGCAGATGATTTTTTTTTAGTAAATTTATAAAATATCTCACATTATTTTAAAAGACAGTATATACGCCATTTGCTTTAAACAAGCTGAAAAGATTAAACACGCCAACCTCTCTGCCGCCAGGTGAAGCCGATCAAGTCGGAAGGTGTTCTATTTCCGAACGAGTTACTCACCGCCTCTCTATTTATTTTACTAACAGACGCAAGCCCCTGCCATTGACCTTGCCTTACTGATAGAGATTTTTCGCGAAAGAAATGAAATCGAACGATAAACGATAACTCGCACATTTCCTTTTACATAACACATTACAAACGGAATAACAGCAACTGCACTCGATAAATGTAAATAAAATATGTCAAATGCAACATGATACATATATATGGAATAAACTAAAGTATGTATTAGCGTATATATGTCACAATGCTAGACAGACACTCCTCTGACCAGAGGGGGTATTAGGCCACAGTTTTGTATGCAACGCCACCGTGGATTGGAACACATATCATGGAAATATTTTTTTTTATTACTTATTATTTCGAAAATGTGCTGGTTTTTTCAAAATAATTTCCTCCACCGACGAGCATGTGATAAATCGGCGCTAAAAATTGCAATTTACAATTTCATTGAATCCACCACTGATATTGTAATCTGTAACTGGGTTCTGAGATTGTAATCTGTTACCCACTTACCGCTATTATATATATATGATAAAAGTGAAGATTTATTTTAAGACCTTCAAGAGGACCTTAAAATAAATTTTCACAACTGACTCTATGTAGAGTAGCGACAAACAATATTTGACTGCCGTAACATATTAATAATACAAAAAGATATTCGTACCTACAAGGAGTATCGTGTTGGCTGCAGATGTCTTGCCTAGTGACCAATATAGCGACGTCGTGATGATGCGGGTTTTTGTCGTCGTCGGGGTTCAATTGCTGCTGCCAACGGCAGAACGATACTAGAGTGGTGTCAGCGTTGGTCGAAACTTCAAGATCCGGAGCCGCGTGCATTTCCTCGACTAATATGATTTTAACGACGACAACTTTGATGTAGTTTCCAATGGACGGGTCCATGTATAAAGATGATACCTAAGAAAGAACGTGTAACAGTTACTGTTATATCATGTTGAACAGAAGTCTATTTTTATTAACGAAAAACAAAACCGACTTAAAATATCTCTCTCCGTATTCATTTTATAATTGATTTTTAAAAGTTCCCTAAGTATCACCGGAGCCCAAGATCCAATACTAATGAAATTAATATGGGACCACAAGGGAAGCACCCGCTTTCAAATCATCATCAAATCAAAAGAATCATCAAAATCGATCCACTCATTCGAAAGTTCTGAGGAAAAAGAACATAAAAATACAGTCGAATTGAGAACCTCCTCCTTTGAAGTCGGTTAAAAACTAGGGATAAGAAGCGATTCTAACCATGTTCATTATGGTCAGGAGATAGGTCTCCAAGTTGCCCTGGTCGTGGAACTCTGTCATGGATTTGTCAGCAACCAGCAGCACTTCGACATGTCGCGGCCTGCTTACCGAACGAGTAGACCGTCTCGTACCGTCCCGTCTTCCCCGCATTCTATGATATTCCATATTTCGGCGACTGTTCTAAAATCATACATGAAATAGTTACATATGAGTGATTGTACAGACATATTATTTATTGCGTGCAATTGAAAAATGTAATAAAATGATCGGTTTATAGACATGTAAATGCTGTAAAAAGTTGTTTTCAAAGCGATGTTTGATTCAGAATTCAAAGCATTTTATATAATATCACGGTTTATAAGTATACCTAGAAGTTGCAATAGAAACCGTGGGAGCGCGCTATATATGCATAGTGGCAACATCTGTGATTGAAATGTGCGTGTGAGTTGATTATGGAAACACTTAGTTCAGGTCGCCCTTAGTACTATATAACTTGAAATGCTTACGTTCTATTGTAAATACTTTAAAAGGACCAGAGGCAATTATTGTCTAATGCTTCAATGGTGAATAATATGTGACATACCATATTCTTGTAATCGTTCGAATTTATGTTATGGTCGTGAATGTTCTTTGTCTTCCACTGGTACGGAGGTTGTTTTGTTGCACAATTTTTCGATCTCTTGCGCCGCCGTCGTCTATTCCTAATGCGCCTTAGTCCTCCTAAGACCTTTTCACGGCTCTTGCTTTTCGACTGTGACAGTTCGTATGAATTACTTGTCTCAACAGAATTACTCCTTGAATTCGATTGTATTCGTCTTTGTTCCATTCGTAGCCTCGCTTGGTGCCTCCTATATTCAGTGGGATTAAGCCTCATTGCCTCTAAGCGCTTCCGTCTTTCTTCTAGATATTCCCGTCTGCGCTTGTCCATAGCTTCTTTGCTACTACGGTTTCTTTTCGTACCTGCGTACTTGTTTGCGTTATTAGGTCCCGCGTGGGAAAGATTCGAGTTAGATCTGCTATCGACTTCTCTCTTCGCTCGCTGAAATGCTTTGACTTTGTCCACGGCCGACCGCTTAAATATTACGTGCGGTCGGCCAGCAGAAATGTCGGTGGGAACTTGATTGGATGGCTCGATCCAGTACTCTCCGTGCTCCGTCCGTAAAAGGCCTGCCTGTTAGGAGTAGAGATAGCGTGACATAAATTATTAATTTTATAAAATTATCTACAATATTGATAAATATATTCCCTGAAACATTTTAAATAAAATATAGAAATTTAAATGCAATAAAGAAAGTATAATAAATGCCAAGATTTTCGCGCCATGTGGTGATTGGCTTTTTGTTTTAGTTGGTTTTATAAGCGTCAGCGCGTTACCCGGAACACAGAGGTCCGAATTCCGCAGCGCGGAAAGTTGGATGTATCAACAAGCTTTAAAGTAAGTTTTATTTATAGAGTGGGTATTATTAGCGAGTTAATTTTCTTATTTGTTATTATCCTGTGTTTAGTAATAACTGCCTGTATACATCCCACTGCTGGGCAAAGGCCTCCTCTATACAGAGGAGGTATTAGGGCATAGTCCACTACGCGACCCTAATGCGGGTTAGTGGTCACGACATACAATATTTATGCAGTCGGTACTTTGATCAATAAGGAATGAGGTTTTTTGTATTAAACTACTTCTATTAAGATTATGGCGCATGGTTTTAGTTGTTGAGTCAAAATCCGGTCTTGAAACCAGTTGGCAAATCGTTAAACTATGCTAAATTGTTTGATAGCTATTTTTGATCTAAATGATTTTAGATATTATGAATTCCTTAATGGCTACGCTTTAATTTCTTATTTACTTCGAAATTGTTTCTGACGTCATTTATACTTTTATTAATCTAAATTATTTTGGTTTCACGTCCTTCACAAAATGCAATTCAAAAATCATCCGATTGGTTATACACTAGAACCTCATTAAGTCAAACCTGGATAAGTCGAAAACCTCTAACTCTCGAAAATATGTTTTGTTCCCTTCCCTTCAAACACCAAAACCTTCATAACTCGAAATCTTAACCCTCAATTAGTCGAAATAATTAGTGAATCCCTCCTAGCCATTTTGGTCCATGGTTCCATAACTCGAAAAATTTAATTTTACCTCTGTATCTCGAACATAGTAATGTTTTATTTTACAACTTTTACAACTCGATTATTAGAGACTGATTACCTATATAGTTCGAAAAAAAAAAATAAGTTAGCGACTTTAAGAATTCGCTGACAGTATAACTACACCATTGTTTGTTAGAAAGCAAGGAGTAATACAATGAAAAGAATTATCACGAATTTATGACTCACGTTAACACGTGTTTGCTGTTCAATTTTATTATTTTTGATTTCATTTGAACTTTCGCCAAGGAAGTCATATGTTGTCGAGTGAAATATTGTCAAAAGTAGTTTGGTTCTACTGTATACAATAATAATAAATATACATCAATTAGTACAACAGTCTTGAAGTTGTTGAAACATGAGTGCTATGAACGTGAACTGAAAACTGAGTCTCGCTGAAAAATTAGAAGTACTGGATGCTGTGAAGAGCTGTCAAAAGAAGAAAGATTAACAACTTCAATTTTTATTTATTTTACCTCTCTAACTCAAAATGCATGAGAATGAATCTCAACCTCTGTATGTCGAATGAAAATCCGCCTAAGTCGAAAGTCTCTATAAGTCAAAAAGTCTATAACTCGAAATTTTTGGCGTCCCCCTTGATGTTCGACTTATAGAGGTCTACTGTCTACTGTATTATGAACAAATGAAAAATAATGAATTCAAATAAAAAATAGTAATTCAAATAAACAATGAAAGTAATAAAAATAGGTAATTGTAAAATATTGGAATAGATGATATTAATTGTTGAAATACTTCAGTTCCCTAACTATCGGCCTACTTGAGTTGTCACTATCGGTCAAGTGGATTGCGACCACATATAGAATATTGCCGAGTACCCAATTTTCTTCACGCTAAATTGTCTTTGTGTAAAGTTTATTAGAAATGCGTTTTTTATATTTTATCAAGACGGCTAATGAAGCTACTGAGACGGCATTTGCGATAAATAGCATACGTTTTCGAAGATTTATGAAACAATTATGGACAAAGTATATTTATTTTAGAATGTTGTTACTCATGAAGGTGGAACTGAAAAATCGACCGTCACCTATCAGCCTTGGCCCAATGTATTTCGTCTGTGTAGCATTTAAATTAATAATCATCGCGGATTGTAATGCAATGTTATCTTAATCGCGAATGTATGTTTACGTCATGACTGAGCGTACGCCTTGTTTACCAATACTGTTTTTTCAAACAACGAAGATTGATAGATAAAAACCGTCGAGAATATTACACAACCACCGCCTGCATTTATTAACTTTGAATCTCTATAAGCATATGTCGCTCCCACGTCGCTCATGTGACGTTTTACTCATACTGTTAATCACATCTTGCACACATTATTAAACGAAATAGACACAACTCAATGGCATGAATCATTTGGCCAATCTATAGTACGATAAAGCAAACACGTTTTTACACCGAGCTCTGTTTGTGTATTTGAATGTATTAATGCTCTTAAGGAGATTTGAAAATCAGTGCCCATTCATAATATAAATTCGCCAGACATTTTACGGTTTGAAAAAGCGCGCAGACGATTGCATTTGTAATGATCAGATTAACATCGATTTTAATGCTATGCAAAGAGAAAATAGTTTTTAAAAGCCTTGATGCACGAATGCAATGTTTTTTTTGTTGACTAATTTATGGAATATTATTAACGTCAATCTTTTATTTGCCAAACCGACTCATAACGAGCCTTTTCCGCCTTTATTCATTTTTGTTATATTTTCCCTGACCTCACACAACAAACATTTTGATTTGGTCTTTTTTTATGGAAAAAGCATAAACAATAACTTAATTATTAGTATTTTACTTGATGAAACTTTTGAATTAATTTTTAGAAATAGTATTAGACAAAAGAATCGTCCATTTTAAAGCGATTACGGTGGTTATAAGAATTCACGTAGAAAAAAAGGAAACGAAACGAAATCATAGGAACAACTTTGATTTGTGTGTACATTAATGTGTTATAGCAAGATTAAAGATTAATGAAATAAGAGATAAATTGCCATATCTAGACGCACTTGCGGGTATCTCATTTCACTTCAACTTTTGATTAAAAACTAAGTTGATGAACTAATAAAAAGGAAAAAACTGTATATATAAGACCTTATGGTTGTCTAGCTGTATAACCTAACGGAATGGGCAGTAACGTAATAAAACTTCCAAGTCATTCTGAATGGAGATAGCTGTTTAAGAAATAATTTTGTATTTGTAGTGTAAGTGTGTGTATTATATGTATTGTGTGTCTATGTTATATATTTGGATTATTCCAAAATTTCGTGGCGTAAATTTGAATCTATGGTGGCCAGAGGCGGACCACCCATCTTGATTATCGTGTCCTTATTTTTATCACGAAACACAACCACCGCATTCTTTTCGCCCCTCTAAATTGGCAGCCGCAGTTTTGTTGGTGTAAAAATATGCTAATTCTAAATCAACGCCTGCCGAGCTTAATGTGGCTAAGATACATAATTAATTCGCTTATGCAAGAATTAAGAGAATTTTTAAATATTAAGAAAATTTTTAGTTTTATAGCGTCCATATCAATAACTAAGAAAGTCGATAAAAATAGGAAACTTGATAAGTTGCGTTCGGAAATGCTATGAAGTGTTTTTAGAATTCGGTTAATATTTCCTTTAGAAGAAAGTTATACAATTTCAAATACTCATTGAAAAGTTCATTATTTTAGTCATCTAAATCATTTGGTAGGTATCTAAAAACGTTTTACGGACCTTACGGTCGTACAGATTGTGCGGTTTTAAGTACATTTTTAATTGTTTTCTTTTGTACACAGCAGTTGAATTAAATTAAACACAATGTCGAAAACTGCATTTAAAAGAGCTAAGAATAAAACGGTCAAATTGTAAATAAATTTGCACTTCGAATTCACTTTGTTTTTTTTTTTTGGTTTGAGAATATAAATCTACCTCTAATTGCGACAGAACGTTTAAACAGTTAAAGTTTTCTCACAAATGCATCGGTAAAATATAGGAGTATTTTGGTTTGTTGTTTTTAACAAATGCATTTAGTAGTTTATTTCCTTGTAGTTTTTAATTCAAATACAAGATATAATAAATTACTTTGTTTGTTTTAAGTTCATAACCTTGGTTCATAACCTTTTAATTATATGATTTGTTCGGCTAACTACATTGTGACAAATAAAAACAAATTACTTTTAACTTCTTCCTTCGGGTCATATGTGCAGGATATACTTCGTACTACTTATATTAGAACTTAAAGGTACAATCAGTCTTGCAGTAATTGAATAGTTCGCGTTATTTTATATAAGGTTAAGGTCGCAACGACCGGTCTGCCTCCAGAGACCCCGGTACGATTTCCGACCCGTGCCAATGAGTTTTCCTTTTTCGAATTCTATGTACGATTCATAATATAAGTTGAATCAGTAACTTAGTGAGCCATCGCCATCGGCCTCAAAGTCCATCATGTTCTGACGAATTGAATCTACCTTTGTCGATCGTGATTTTTTTTTATTCTTTTGCCGGAAATTGTTATAGCTATTAAACCGCCGCGAAAAGCCATTTAATTATTTGCAGTCTAAACTCCTGCTACCCGGTAAGGCAATCGTTAATTCCGACTTAAAAAGGATCGACCTTGTTATTTTACAATCGGTTTCATGTCTTCTTTAATTTATAGCGGATAATATAACAGATAATAAAACTGACGGCTCTCTTTTCTTACTGCCTGTTATTAATGTTTTTTATATAAGCACTGTAATACTGTTCCAAAATATTCGTTTTTTTCCAAACATTAGCGATATGATCATTTGAATAACAACTAAACAGAACTAACTTCTTTAAGTTTAATATTTTCAGTTCAATTTTGAATATTAGATGGCGCACGCTCTGTAATATAGCCTCTTCCGGTTAAGGATACTTTTTTCTATGAGGTTTCCATTCCATCCCCACTATTGGAAAAATGTTGTCTGAGAAACAGAGTATTTTTCTAGTCTAGGTAATAATATGTAATTATTTAAAAAAGAACAGTGTATTAATATATTATTATCAGTTACCTAGTAAGCATAGTTCAAGCTTGGCTTAGTTTAGGACTAGATAGAGTTAAAATACAACCTGAAATATTTATTTATTTATGCATAATTATTAACTTATGTTTAATTTGAGCTTCAGTCACATTACTTTTTTAAAATTAATAAAGAAGAGTTTATTCAATCCAGGGTTTGTTTGCTCTTAATATAATTTAATACTATCAATTAACTTCATAATAACAATATCAATTTTGGGTAAAAATAATTATCCGAATCTCTGTAAGATGTATTAACATTTTACAGCGAGATTTTTTTTTTGACCTTATATATCTGTAGTAAAAAAAATAGTAGGGGATTCTAGAAGGAGCATTAAAAATTATCGTCAGGGTAAAGAGGAGTTTATTGTTAGAACAGGCGGTGATAGCCAAACCCTCGAAAGTGCATACCAGTCCGTCGCAGGCGGAGAGAGCTATGCTGGATGCCGGTTGGCCTCGAATTGTGCCCGTGTAGTGGCAGGACGTGGCAGCAGCTTGCGGCCTCTGACGGGTGCGCCCACCAGCACTGTGCCGCTCCACCACCATAGCCGGTGTCATGAACGTCACCGAAGGCCTACAAAAAAGTTTTCCTCTTTAATCTGTGATAACAATTAATATTGAAGTATAATCAGTTCATTGTCAACTTCGTTTTACAGTAGAGTGCTGTTATAAGATTTAAAACGATGACACTCATCACAGAGTTTAAATGATTCTCGTTTTCCTTATAATACGATTTATTAAGAGTTATTGCATTATGATTTTATATTAAAACATATGTGAAGTCCGCTGCTCCGTGGCCACGTGGTTGACTGATTCCTTGTCTGTAAAGCGAGGCATTTGCCCAGCAGTGAAATATGGTTTTAAGCGTACATGTAACATGTAACCTACGGGTTATAAGATCATGACGGAACAATGCTTAATTCCGTGATATGAGAAATATAACGAGATTCTATTCTGAATGAAAATAAAAGTTTTCATTAAAGAAAAAATAACTTTGTTTGTCTTATTGAAATTGGAAAAATAGGTATGCTGTTAATTACTAACTTAACTATGTTAATTACTGTTTAATAACATTTAGTACGAATCATTTTAAATTAGAACTAGTTTTGATTTTTTAAATTAATAGTTAGAATTATATAGTTATTAGCACTGTCCAGTTAAAGATACTTCTCGAGAATTCTCAATTCATGATGCAACGGAAGATTAATGAGCTAACGAACCTAACGAGCCATGGAACATAAATAAAAGAAGAGAATGCACTCGTTGTAATTAAGTTTAGTCTTCATACGACTCCCTTTCAATTCCGAGTATGCTGAAAATTTCTTTGATCGTTTTACATAGCCACCGTTTTGAATATTAAGACGTTATATGAGGGCCTTACTTTGTATGTATTTCTCAGATTGTGGGAAATACCATACTCAAAGTACTCGTGGGAAGCTAAAAACTACTCAGATTTTATCTTTTGTATAAATTAAATTAATAATGGTTTATACGCATTTGTATGCTTGAGCGATTAGATAAGTTTTATCATTCAAAGTTAATTTGTGACATCAACCTTTTTCCCCAGACATAAAAGTGGTGATTTCAACTTTTTTTAAAATTACTAACCAATACAAAGAATCGGCATACCAAGTCACGGTGAAAAAAAAATCAGGTTGGTGTGCTAGTAACAAAAATTCAAAAGAATTTATACTTGAACAATTTGAATCATTATAATTTCTTATACGTATCAAATTCAAACAACGTAATAAAATTGATTTATGACGCAATGCTAATTCTAGGTTAGCAATTAAAAAGATTTTATTAGAATGAAAGTTATTCTCGTCCCGTATCTGTTATCTCGTATATGTTTAAGATAAAAAAATAATTGCTGCGATATAACAAGTTTATTTCACGCGTATTTCTTTGTCTATACTCCATTTGATTAATTGTCGAGACTTGCTTTTCATACAGTCACATGACGAATTTCTGTTTTTGAGCAAATTTTGAGTTTTGTGTTATTTTATTTAATGTTTGATGTTTATGGATCGTTCATTTTTAACCGACTTTGAAAGGGCTCCACCCTTTCGAAGTCTGTTCTCAATACGACCGTATATATATATATTTTTTTTTCATTTGTGTTCGCGGATAACATTGTCGTTGATGAACTGATTTTGATGATTCTTTTTTTGTTAGAAAGGAGATATCCCAAGGGTGGTACCATGATAAGGAAACCCAGATCTTATGATGGCATCCCAGAGAAATCGAAGGCAATCCTCAAATGTTATAAGTATCAACAACGTTTTTTATTAATTTCAGTTTGAAGTCGGTTTTTTTTGATAAAAACTATATTTTCGATCGTTGTTATATACCTAACCTTCTTGTGTGCAAATTACCATGCTTACTAGAAAGTGCAAAGTTTTGAAAAAGTATATAAGTTTTATCATGCTATTCTCTGCGCTTAAGACGAAATTTAAAACTTTGTGGAAAAATGTATTCTGGAAAATCTAAAAGTGGATCTTCGAGGATTTGAACCTGCGTCCTTTGGGATATGTGCTAGGCGCTGTAGCCACAGAGCTAACCGACTTATCTTCTATACCACCGAAATATTAGTTTCTTCTATACTTAGTTTTTTATAACATTTTTTATATAATATTTTGGAATGAAATATTTGAAAACTAGATTTTTTTAGCTAGTTATTTTATTGTTAATGAAGATAGTTCGTTAGAAGTTCTTGTATACGACATGAATAGGAGGAAAATTTAGGACAAGATGCTAAGACTCGGCACAATTCGAATGCCATAGACAAAGGAGCGCCAAAATTATATCACATATTCGTGTCACAAGGAATCAACGACTTTTGAATTACTATTATAATATTTTTTTTGAATAATTTTCTCTCGTTCGATTTCGCATAAAATATGTCATCGTAGGAAAAGTTGTTTTGAATTTGAAATACGTATAAATTTATTATGGTTAACACCACAAACACTACGATATTTGTGAGTAATGTTATATCAATTAAAATAAACCTTAAACAGATAACACGTCATCAAGTGACACTCTCAAGACATCAAGTGATATTTTTCAAATTTCAACGTCTACCGACCTAAATTTTTTCCACGCATTGCATCGATAAATTGCGATTTAAGCGCATATCGGCCAAGGCATCTGTCCAGCGCGACGACGGCCATAAAAAGTAGACTTCGAGTTATCACTCGTTTGAGATTTATCGCGTAAGCAATACCATGGTCGGCCTTAGACGCCTCGGAAAAATGAACGGAGCGATTTATCATTCGCAACGGAAAACGCGACAATATAATTGTTAATACATCGTCACCACCTTTTCTTATATACAGTTTTGACCCATCCGTAGACCTATGCCGCTAAGCTAAGTAACGAACCAATGGCCAGAACCGCCCGAGTCGTCTGGCGAGTGAAGAAGCCGGGGCCCACTTTATTAAAAGGTGGTACCGTCTTCAACCCCACGGGCGTTGCAAATGTCAGTAGGCGGCGGTTATCATTAACCATCAACTGAACCGCCAGGTCGCTTGTTACTTTCACACATAAAATAAAAAAAAGATAAAAGCTGTCAGAAGCCGTAAGAACATTTGTCGCGAGAACATGTATGCGAACGTTGACTGGCCTATGTCGCTTAAAGTTATTTAAAGTCACGGTGGGCAGTTCAACCTTGGTCAGGATAAGCTGTCGATCGGCAGGCAACGGGTCGAGTGGCAACTAAGCACACAGATAAGGCTCATTACGGCAATTAGTGGAGGTAAATATGGCCGCCCCAGATATACGCGGCGCGTCGTATCGTCGGCCGCGTGTTTACACTGTAAAGGCCCATTTACACGATGCCATTTTCTTGTACATGCAAGAGCAATAATTGAATGCAATAAATTGCGCGCAATAATTGGTTAGACCATTTGTTGTTTAGACCATGCAACTTATTTATTGCTTCAATTTAATTGTATACAACAGGCAAGAAACTGGCACCGTGTAAATGGGCCTTAAGTATGAATACAAGCTATTCCGGCTGTTGCTTTTAACTGTCGCGAGTGACGGCTCATCGTTGTTTGGCTGTTCTGCCTTTCATCTAAGCAATTGGCCATAGAGAAAACGTTAGAAAATCGCAATCTGTTGGTTCACACAATAACTGGACTTCTGAAGGAGGCAAACGGGGCTCAGTACTGTAGTTTTGTAGTATTTGTATGTATGTAGTTTTTCCGGGCTTATTGGTAGCGCGATTGACGATATTACATATTTGAGTTTGAAGTTTGATATTGTACCCCATTCTTAAATTGTTTGACAATCGTTTTTGTAATAATAATGATAGTTTATCGCATTAAACATGGTTATCAAAAGTTGTTATTTACATTTTTAAATAGAAAGTTTTACCACGGTTATACAAGCATGCTGTAGTTATACATATTCATGTATCTTATTGCTCTCTTGTATGTTGTATTCTTACCAAATTGATAAACCTGTTGTTTGTTTAGTGTTCGTCCATGTACTTTAACTTCTATTATAAAACAAAAATAATGTTCAAACCCAAGGCGTAATTATTTTTCTAAAAAATGTTACGTTGTTACAAAACAATAAATATCCATGTATATCAGATTTCGCCATGAAATAAAGAAACACATTTAAATAAACGAGAATTTAAAAATTTTCTTTTTGAAAATTATTTCTCTTCCTATTACGAAGCTACAAATAAACATCATACATCTAGCTCATATTCACATACATGAATGAATGAATGAATACTTTATTCACATACATGCTCTTTTGTATTCCATAAGGAATAGAGTTACAACAATATCCACGACAAATTTTAAATGAGATTATTTCGGAACTTACCAGATAGGTAGTAAACGATATTAAAAATCATTAAGTTTCGTTTTTATTTTTTTGTAAATTGTTACTTCGAAAGTCATTTTACTTAAAACAGAGCGGTCTTAATATGTTTTTATTAATGCTTGTAATGTTCTTACGATTACATCTTGTGATTTTCATTGATAAACAAAACCTGTTTCGAATAATTTAGGTCTCTTGTGCCAGTTCAATTCATTGCATACCTACATTATGGGAGTCCGTTATTTGTATTATGCGTGTCAACGACATTGTAATAGAATCTTTCTATACGCGCACTATTACGTCCTTTGTTAATCGATCATTATGGTAAAACTTTAGTGCACAATCTGGCAACACCGAGGTATATGGTTTACTATATAGCAAATAAAATAGAGATTGGTATACATTTGCTATCGTTCCTCCACACGCTATAGGTGTCCTAACATAAATCTCCAAGGAGCTACGGTTTGGCGTCCTGCTGCGTGAGTACTTTATTTTATTAACTTTTTACGAGGGCCTTGTATTTGAACCTTGACTTAAGCCCATTCAATTTGAAAGTTACTTTTTTCCCCGGCAGATGTTTCATTTCGCGTTCTGTTAGAAATTTTGACAGGGGAAAATAAAAACTAAATGAAGATAAATGTGCCGCGTAAACATCTCACATGTTGAAAAATGGAAGAAAATAAAATGGCCATGAACGGAGCGGGTTAATGGTTGCATTAAAATTGCTGCATGATT